AAGGGCTCCAATGTGCTCTCTGTGAACACTGGACCTTGTTTTTTGTCAAATCCGAAAGACTACACATTGTTCCCTGCCAGGCTCGTACACCACTAAACCATCGCCTGCCAGGCTCGTACACCACTAAACCATCGCCTGCCAGGCAAGATACGCCCACATTTTGCAAGAGTTGGATAAAGAACAAGCTAAAAAGAAAGTTATTTTTTGTACAATCAGGGGCCATAATTCAGGAAGTTACAATCCGATATGCACGAATATGGAACCAAGATCTTTGGGTTATAAAGATATATTTCGAGTTTCATCCAAATTGGATCAAAATTGTGACTTCTAGAGGGTCTACAACCTTGATATACCATATATTTACACTATTTGAGTACGAGGGGCAGCCATGTTGTCTGGCAGTTTTGATCCCATTTTCAAGAAATTCAAACTCAGACAAAATTACAGTGTAATGGTAATATATTGGAACGTTTTTTTAAATCGGATAATAATTGTGACCTCTAGAGGGACCATAAGCTAAAAATGCGATTTTTCTTACAATCAGGGGCCATAATTCAAGAAGTTAGGGTCTGATATGCACGAATATTGAAAGGAACCAATATCTTTGGGTTATAAACATGTATTTCAAGTTTCATCAAAATCAGATGAAAATTGTGAACTCTTGTGAGTCCACAAGCTAAAAATGTGATTTTTTGTACAATCAGGGGCCATAATCCATGAAGTTATGGTCCGATACATGCAAATATCGAAAGGAACCAAGTTCTTTGGGAGATAGACCTATATTTCAAGTTTCATCAAAATCGGATAAAAATTGTGACCTGTAGAGCGTCCACAAACAAATTGTGGATGGACAGACAGACGGGCGGACAGGGGTGATGACAATATATGTCCACATGAAAATGTGGCCGTATAAAAATGGGAAACCATACTAAAAATCCCTATAAACATTTTTTGCCAACAATGGGATCAAATCCAGAACCTCTTGGTTATTGAGTCAATGCTTTACTCACTGAGCTCCGATTATATGATGGGGCTGTTAGCCTAGGCCTATTCCAGTTTAAAAATACCTAGGAGTGGTAGGAATGTTTTGAAGAGCTCCCTCCCCAACATATAGAAAAAGATCATTTTGTTGTTCCTTCCTCAAAGCGGCGATGGTTCAGTGAGTAAGACGCTGGCTCTATAACAGAGGGGGTGCTCGATTGTCAGTCCGGAACGTCCCGAATTGCAATCAAGTGATACAGAATTCAGTCCCTTCACAGTTCTGCCAGTCCCGACAGTTGAGGTGGTGTGAGTAGAATCGTGACGTATTTTAAGTAACAAATATGTTTCAGCTGCCATGATTGGTTGAGATATTTTTTATGCAGTGGGCACATGCGCTGTACTCCGAAATTCTCCTTTTCACTCGATTGACACTATCTTCGGAATTGAGAGAATTTAATTCTGGAACGTTCAATTGAGTATCCCCCTGGTTTCAAGTTCACGTCCAGCAGTGGACATAAAAGTTGCTCTTGTCATTGGTGCTTGACCGTGAGTCTGGCAAGGAACAGTGTCTAGTTGTTCAGATGAAAGAGAGAGAGAGAGAGAAATGGGGTTTAAAGTCCACTCAACACAGACTATGTCATTTCGGGACTAACATATGGTTTAATTTTATTTCAATAATTCGTTTGCGCGTAGGGGTCTTTAGCAGTGGGAGGAAACCGGAGGACCCAGAGAAAACCCACGAGGTTGGACAGGCAACCCTACTCCTTGTCACGTAAAACCGGGGAATCGAAACCACGCCAGTTGACTCAAGGACAGGCTTTATGATACAGCGCGCACGTGCTAACCATTCAGCCATTAACCCACCCGTTCAGATGAAACAAATCATGTCAATCATGTTAAATGGAATAACCCCATACCTGCTGTCAATCATATGTAAAACTGGAAAATAAAACGGCATGCCGCAATAAGCTCCGTCACACGGTGCTAGAGATGCATTTTCAAAAACGGTGGAATATTTCTCCAGAGCTTTTGAACCGTGATGATCTAACTGGAAATACCAAACATAGGAATCCTTCTCCACCTTCTCTCCAGATTTAAGGTAGTCGATTCTATCAAAATGCTGCCAAAAAATCAAAACATACTTCAAGTAACAAAGCGTGATTTGCAAAGCATGAATTGCATTTTGAGAAAATATCAAATTTCTCACGTCTTAATACACGTTACTATGCACTCAGATTGATTATTTGACATTTAATTAAGAAAACAAAACAAAATATCAATGGCAGTTAATCTCCTGGCTTGTATTCAATCGGATTAAACAGAGACCCATGAAAACAGGTCCATCAATTTGGTTCACGGAAAATGGCAGCGGACTTGTTACACACAGGGCAGCATAATATATAAATCAATGAAATTTTCAATTCGTTATATCTTTGTAAATACTGAACGGAATTGAACCATTTTTAGACCTATAATCCTTTTAGAGATTCAACTTTCACAATACTGTAGTTTGCAAGAGATTCTATAGCACTGAAATCTCACACATTCTTTATACATCGATAGACACAAATCAACATTCTTATACATTGATGGAACGTAATACAGTATTATACATTCATGGAACACAATACAGTCTTGTACAATAATGGGGAAAACAGTCTTGTACATTGATGGGACAAACAGTCCCATTGTACACTAATGGGACAAAATACAGTCTTATACACTGATGGGACAAAATATAGTCTTATACACTGTGAGATCAGAGGGCCCGGAGAAAACTCATGAGATACAAGCTGGTAATCGAAACCACAGATAATGCCTTAGACCATTTGCAAGTCCATTTACAATCTGCAGCATGACAATATTAGAATTAATTCAAATCAATATATTTAGATGTAGCTGTAGATAAACTATTCTTAGTCCTACAAATGGAAATCCCATGAGATGGTATTTCTGATTAAAGCGTGAATTTGATACATTGTCATTAGACAACATCTGTTTATTAGAAATTGAAGAAAATCAATACTAAATAAAAAATCAAACTTACAACCAGCATAACTCTTTGCATGGATGCATCTTGTAAACTTGTTGAAAAAGGAAAACCATAGGGAGTGAACAGAACAGCTAGTGTTCCTGTTATTGATATAGCTGATAATATTAATATCAATTTACCTATATTACGACTTATATATACAAAACTACACTGAAATAAAATTGTAAAATATTAATTTCCAGAGAATTAACTGATAATTATTTTTTAAAATTTGTTTAGTAAATAATTACATTTACAGTTAAATAATTATTATCTTTCATTTTAAGAGTTAACTTTCCACATGGTTAAGCACTGATTATCTCTTTCATATTAAAGAGTTATCTTTCCACATGGTTAAGCACTGATTAATACGTGCCTTTTTTGATATTAAAGTTTTGTTTATCAAATGAATCCAGTTAAATAATTCTCATCCTTAATTAATTTCAGAGAATTTCAAGAACTATTTTTGAGGTAATTTACAAAATATTTATTTTACAAAATTTTATTAAAGTTTGGTTGTTTTTAAATATTTGAAGTTATCTAAATATTTATTATAACCCTATGATATTGAACTGTGCAATCTGATTTGAACATGCTATCGGATGGGACGAAAAACCGAGGTCCCGTGTACACATTGACGGGCATGTAAAAGATCCCTTGGCAGTTGGAATTCAATATAAGAGTGGGCCGTAGTGTCGCTGCCGGGGCAAAATTTCCCTCATAGCACACTGTAAGGCGTATGTCTGTCTTCATTAGCCCAGTTTAGCAGCAGAACAGTAGGACGTTAAACCCCATTTCATTTCATTTCATTTCATTTTTGCTCTCTAACTTCTGTTTCAATTCATCACAATGAAGTTTAACACCCTAATGAAGTCGGGAATAAGCCCCAGCATGTAGTGTGCATTGAGCTAAATTTCAAAAATTCCAGCATGAACACAGAACCTCAGTTTATCATCTATTCTGAATGACTAGACAATTTTCCTGGATGTAGTGGGATCACGGTTGCTAAGTGGGTAAGACGCTGGCTCGCTAGCCTGGAGGTCGGGTGTTCGATCCCTGCAATGGCAGAGAAAGTTCATCCAGATTTTCTTGCGTGGTTTCCCCTTGTCAGTGATGCAGGACGAAGGGCCTGACAATGACAGCTGTCTAGTCGTTCGGATAGTCGTTGGTGTCCACATAAAAGATCCCTTGGCAGTTGGAATTCAATATAAGAGTAGGTCGTAGCGCCACTGCCCGGGCAAAATTTCGCTCATAGCACACTGTATGACGTATGCCTGTCTTCATTTGCCCAGTTTAGGAGCAGAACAGTAGGACGTTAAACCCCATTTCATTTCATTTCCTCGATGTAGTGTGCTATGAGCTACATTTTGATAATTCCAACTGTCAAGGATTCTTGTACACAGAACCTCGGTTTATCATCCCATCCGAACATCCAGACATTGTTCCTTGCTAGACGTTCCATCCTACACCACGGACAAGGGGGAACTACACAAGAAAATCCAAATGAACTTTCTTGGTCAACGTAGGGACTGAACACGGGACCTCCAGGTTAACGTGCCAACATCATACTCACTGAGCCACCGTGGCTCTGAATATATATATATACAAAGTGATATATAAGCATGTTAAAATAAACTTACATGATAACCCATTAATAATAGAACAGGAAATGATACCAAGATTGATACAGGTATATCAGGTTTGACCTCCGTACCGCATCTCCCCATCACCGTTATAATCAACATAGTTAAATTTAACGTGAGATATATGGTATAACTTGCTGGTATTAATACTGATATAACTTTTAATATCACATATATCACAGGTTTCTCTATAATAAAACATAGTTAAATTATATGTGAGATATATGGTTAAATCGCTGGTATTAATACTGATAGAACTTTCAATATCACATATATATCACAGGTTTTTTCTATAATAAAACATAGTTAAATTATATGGGAGATATAAGGTTAACTCGCTGGTATTAATATATCACAGATATCACAGGTTTCTCTATAATAAAACAGAGATATACGTGAGATATATCGTATAACTCGCTGATGTTACTACTGATATAAATTTGAATATCACATACATCACAGTGGTATTAATGCTGATATAACTTTCTCTATAATAAAACAGAGTTAAACATGACATGTATGGTATAACTCATTGATATTAATACTGATATAAATGCATGAAATGGGGTTAATGGGGTTTAAAACCCTACATTTTTGCACGAACCAGGCTAATGAAGAAGGAGATATGGCATACAGTGTACTATGATGGAAATTTTGCCTAGACAGCAATTGAATCCCGACTGCCAAGGGTTCTTTTACATGCACACATGCAACTTAGGTTTTACATTCCATCCAAAAAATTAGACAGTGTGCTATGAAGGAAATTTTGCCCAGAAAGCAATTGAATTCCAACTGTCAAGGGTCCTTTTACGAGTACGCCAGCATGACACTGGACCTTGGTTTCTCATCTCACACGAACGAATAGACGCTGTTCCAGGCCATGCATCCTACACCACTGACAAGGGGGCTGGTTTAAACTTAAAATACAGCATGTAAAATAAAATACCTTTAAAATTAATTTTAAATGCTTTAGCTGTTCTGGTTATTACAAGTAGCGGAAACAAGGTCCATAATAAAACCATATAGGCCGAAGCTATTTTAAAATATGTTAAAGTCACTAATAACATAACCCATAATAACATATTGCCATCATAAAATATTCCGTCAACTTGCCAACCATTTGTACTCTGTAAAACAAAATAAAATAAATGAAATGAAATGGTGTTTAACGTCCTACTGTTCTGCTCCGAACTGGGTTAATGAAGACGGGCATACGCCATACAGTGGCCTACTCTTATATCGAATTCCAACTCTCTAGCGATCTTTTACGTGCACGCCAATATGTACAAGGAACCTCGGTTTTTCATGCCCTCCAAACGACTAGACATCTGTCCTTGTCAGGCCCTTCGTCCTGCATCACTGACAAGGGTGAACCACGCCGGAAAATCTGGATAAACTTTCTCAGCCAATGCAGGGATCGAACACCCGACCTCCAGACTAGCGAGCCGGAGCCTTACCCATTTAGCCACCGTGATCCCCCAAAATAAATTAAATATAATAGAAAGTTGAAACATCAAAATAAATAGATGATGCATATTAATTAATTGCACATTTATCATTTTGAAAAGAACTAATGTAACCAAACTGCTATATTTAGCAGAAAATGCTCATGATCAATGTTTTGATGTAGTGAAACTATACACCAAATCAAGTTTCATCTCTTTCCCTAAAATAATCAAAGTTATCGTAACCCAAAAGATTTATATTTCTACATGTTAATCGTCAAACTCATTCACAGCAAGTTTGAACATTCTACCTCCATTAGAAGCAGACACGAAATAGATCATTTTGAGACTATAACATATGGTACAATTTTTATTTCAACATTTCAACAATTTGCTTGTGTGTGGGAAGAAACAGGAGGACCCGGGAAACAACTACAAGGTTGGACAGGCAACCCTACTCCTATTCATGTACAAGCTTCGTATCAATGACAGACCTTATGATATAAAGCAAACGTATTAGACCCCTAGTCCACAAATCATCCCACCACTTGTAATGTGTACCTAATTATATTTTGTGCAGTGTACTGTTTATTCACTATGTATTTTGTAGTGCTGTCTTTCTATGTGTTATGAAGAAATGCCATGGTGCTGTATCCGTTTATTTTGGCTGCCGCATTTTTTGATACTGGCAATAGTAGAAAAATACTAATATTTTAGATCATCGACAGATGAAACATGAATGTTTCATCGATTAAAAGAAGATAGTAATTTATTCCGGAGTATTACTGACGTGAACTTGAAAGCTGGTTTGTGAATTAAATATGGAAAATTTTCAAAAGGTGTACCTAATTGTTTTTATTTTTGTGGTGATCACATACATCAAAATATGACATCCTCCATAACAAATTACCAAAAATTATTTTTGTAGAATTCTCGTTATATTAAAGGGAATGGAAGTTTATAATTAACCGATTTCCTACCGGGACCTCATTTGACCCAATTCTGGCCGGTTCATTTCAAAATGGATTAAGAACCCTGGTATGCGCCATGAGCACATTTTGCAGATATAGTGCTTTATAAATGGACATATTATTATAATTAATATGTATCTATTAAGATATTTACCTTATAATAAGTTTTACGTAAAATCCAGTGTAGTGTTAAGACAATGGTTATTGAGGGTAAGATATATAACCATATTAGGTTTAACGTATTAGTAAACCACGACATCTCACGACCTAACATTGTCAACAATAACGCTATAACAACACATGTTATTATTATCAACGTCCATGACAACAGCAAAAAAATAACAGCCATCACCAATTCTCTTACATATACAAAACCTTTAATTTCTGAAATTACAAAAAATAACATAGATTATGTGACATGTGAAAGCTGTGTTCGTTAAACTCAACCAAATTTCCCTCATAGCACACTGCATGTCGTATGCCCGTCTTCATTAGCCCAGTCAGAGCAGAACAGTAGGACATTAAACTCCATTTCATTTCACTTATGAATTTAATATGCAATGTTTCTGTACATTATCCAAAATAACTGACAGTGAAAATTTTTAAAGTGGAAGCCCTGTACCACACAGAGAGAAAAGAGGTACAAAGGGAGATTGTGGAATGTGGTAGCACACAGAGAGATGAGGGATGTAAGTGATGATTTTTTGGTAAAAAATTGATTATGTCTTTAATTGAAATGAAATGGGATTTAACGTCCTACTGTTCTGCTCCTGACTAAATCTTGATTTTGTTTTAGGCCTAGTATCTTGGGGAACTTTGTGGTAAAAATCACCACATGTTGAGAAGGCGCACCTATCTCCAAGCCACATACACTCTCACCAGGGATCGAAACCACAAGCACAAGCCAGGGGTGACCGGCCAGCAAGAGGTCGAATCATGACACTCTAGACCACTAGGCCATCCCAACCCCCCAAAAATCACCACAGACTAAAAACACTTATCAAGTCGAAATCTTGTGGAATGTAGTACCACACTGAGAGCTAAGGGGTCTGCGAATTTTGAAGAAAAAAAACCCTATCTTGTGCTATCTGATTAAAACACAGATCCTATTTCCTTTCGTTTTTATAGTTCAAAATTTCGTTTTACTTGTCTTTACTACACTAGGATCTGGAAGAGTTGTTATCATTGACATGTTCTGAATGGTGTGAGGGCTTAGCCAATGAAACGGTCTGTGAGGGCTAAGCCAATGAAACGGTCTGTTACGGCGAGCTTTAGGCATGTTTTGCATGTAACTGTGGGTAATCCACTAGTAACATCAATGCTGATTGGTTAATCGAAAGTATAAAAAAAAAGAAACGAAATATAGATCTGTATTTTAATCAGATTGTATTTTGTGGAACTCTTGTGGTACAATACACCACAGAAAAAGATCTTGTTGATTGTACTTGGGTCACATTTTACCCCAAATGATAGGATAAACTATTTATGTTCCAGAAAAATAAATGGATTATGTTTCATAAATTTTTCAAAAGCCCCCAAACCATTCCATATTGATATTTATTCATTACTATCATAAAGGCAAATGATGTCAATATTAGTTTTCAACTGTTACTGAGACATAGCCAATTTTGCAGAACCAACTTTTTAAATTATTTTGCACAAATTTCATAAAATTTGCACCATTTGAAGCTTATTGCAAAAATCCCCAATAACATTAGCCCCTCATGTGGCATCATTTTGGCAAAACTTGTATTAAGTGTTTTTGGTAACAATAAAATTTGCCACAAATCTTATTTTGCAAATAACCCCTACAATAAAATAACTTTAAGATTTTTGCAAAACTTGTATTAATGTTTTTGGTAACAATTATATTTTCCTGCAAATTTGGATGTATGCTGCTAATTGATCACAGCTGTCGTGGAAACGTATTTCAATAAATGAAAAACAGGTAGCAATTTATCAGTAATATTATAAGTATAATAATATAAAAATAAATAATTTGCCAGTGTTTGATATATTTATGAGAAATATCAACATTTAATTTATATAACTAACTAATTTTTTTTTTTTGCAGACAACACCTGTGTAGTTTATGACTATGAAAGTTAAATCAAATGCCACATGTTTACATATACAGGTAGACAGGTATACAAAATCAGCATTTACAGGTGGGTACTAAAAATCACATAAAATCATAAACTAAGTATATAAACAGAAACTGATTTTCCAGATTGTTACAAGAAACAGACATATAAGCATGGAGCCCGCTGCTTTTATTTCGAGTAACAACCACTGAAAGAGGTTGCTATCTGACTTACACATCGACACAAACTATAAAGATTATCGCAAAGGATTAATGCACTTGTTTATTTACATGTATTCAACAGCTGATTGTAGCATCTTAATCCCAAAATGCCCCCACCCACCTAATCCGGATGTTATTATTATTACTATTATTTCTATTTGTATAATTATTATTGAAACCACTGGATAGGATTCACATTACCTGCAATCTGATTAAAATACAGATCTATATTTCGTTTCATTTTTTTTTATACTTTCGATGGCCTACACCACATATGAAGATCTGACAAGTTATAGCGATAGATCACGTCAGGGGTCAAAAGACCGACTTATGACCCTTTTGACGTCAGATATTTGATAAACCAATCAGCATTGATGTTACTAGTGGATTACCCACAGTTCCGTGAAAAACACGCCTAAAGCTCGCCGTAACAGACCGTTTCATTGGCTTATCCCTGACACCATTCAGAACACGAGTTAAATAACAACTCTTCCAGATCCAAGTGTAGTAAAGACAAGTAAAAACGAAATTTTGAACTATAAAAACGAAACGAAATAGGATCTGTGTTTTAACCAGATTGCATTACCTGAAGAGTTGTATCCAACAATTTTTCTAAATATTGTCAGCAGAAATAAACTGGAGATTCCAAGATTGAGAATAACAGCCATTCTCATTGGGTAACTGACCATGAAATAACCAATGAAATCGAAGAAGACCATAGTTCCATGTTTTTCAGGGCCAGGATTCACCAGTTGAGGACTGGACACCAGAGTCTCAACGAGGTTCATAAGATTTTCTCCTGAAATGAATGATCATCGCATGTACAATACATTTAACATCAGAGATCAATCATAGGGTTTAAATATGATTTTAGGGATCAATCATTGAGTCTAAAGAGAGAGAGAGAGAGAGAGAGAGAGAGAGAGAGAGAGATAGAGAGAGATAGAGGGTTTAACGTCCACTCGACACAAACTAGGTCATTTCGGGACTAACATATGGTTTAATTTTATTTCAATAATTCGCTTGCGTGTAGGGGTCTTTAGCAGTGGGAGGAAACCGGAGGACCCAGAGAAAACCCACGAGTTTGGACAGGCGACCCAACTCCTTGTCATGTACAACCGGAGATTCAAAACCACGCCAGTTGACTCAATGACAGGCCTTATGATACAGCACGCACGTGCTAACCATTCGGCCATCCAACCCCCCTGAGTCCAAATAGAATTTTTGGTATCTATCATAAGGTCTAAACAGGATTTTGGGGATCAATCACAGGGTCGAAATAGGATTTTAAGGTCTAAGTAGGATTTTACAGATCAATCATGGGGTCTAAATATGATTTTAAGGATCAATTTTCGGTCCTAATAGGAGTTTAGGAATCAATATTAAGATCTAAATAGGATTTTAGGGATCAATCATAGGGTCTAAAATAAGGTTTTAGGAATCAATCATGCTTTGGAGCAATGACGTGATGTTGCATCAGGCTGACCTTAAAAATATCTTTGTTTCGCCTAACGCGACCGACTAACTAAAACCACCCCCGACTTAAATTATTTTATTGCACTTTTCCACGATCTTTTTATTTTATTTTGTGTGTCAACCTGAAATATATCACGAGAGTTATTTCCCTTTACTATGGCTATGGTTTGATTCATTATTGAAACTGGTTGATCAAGACGAAAGCGTCATAGGTGTCGCTTCTCAACAAAATGGTTGCAGACGAACACACGTCCATTCCCACGAAATGATTCTGCTTCTATGTCTGTGGTGCGTAGTTTTGAACATAACGACGATATTTTCAATATCCGTTTTCGAGAAAAATGAAGGCACAACCCGCACTATCGTTAAAAACGTGTTGAAGGAGTTTCACACTTCAAGTTCGTAGCAAATCGTGTGCGAGTCGGGCATCACGAAAAATTCCCGATGTCATTGATTTTTTTGCCAATTGAATAAAGAAGACGAATGTTTCCACCCGGAAAATTATTAAGCTGTCAAATTAGCTCTTAAGTTTAATAAAAAGACTTTCAGTTCGTTACTTTTTACGTCAGACCCCAAATTCATTAAACAAAATTAATGAATCTGTAGTATACAGCTAATATTAATAAGTTTTCTGTATTGATTTCTCTAACTTTAAAAAAAAATCTGAAAAAAAAACCGACCTACCGACCCTTCTCCTCGATTGTGGGTCGGGTTTGGTGAAACAAAGATATTTTTAAGGTCAGCCTCATATAAGGGGGTTTGTGTTCAGACCAACAACAATTTGGGAAAAGTCAATCAGGGAAATCAATGGTGATCTGCCTCCGTAACTCTAATATCTTTATACTTACCTCCCCTTTGAATAGAGCCTGGTTGAATGTATCTTGGGAGATCATTCTTTGTGTGATAAACATAACCATTTTTAATATGAGCTATATCTAACCCTAGAATACAAATGAGAATTGTTAATAAATAAAAAACAAATGAATGTCTTTTCGAACTTATCTCTACATGCATGTTTCACCCCCAAAAACAAAGATCATATTCCACTTTTACACTAGTTTTAATTTTAGCAAGTTTTTATGGGTTATCCTCAAGAGGCTGATCATTTATGACATCATTACTTTTTCTCTCATCAAAACTTTCTCATCTTATTATCATGTAACTTTATATTATCACCCCTATTGTCATGTTTGATATGCCTCTTGGATCAATAAATAAATAAATAGACATGGAATCTCAATTCCTGGCTGAATTTTTGATTGGTTCCCATATGTCAATTCTCATGAATCTAAAAACCATGTTGGAAAATTTTGAGAATTAGTGCCAGACAAAATGACCGACACCAGTGGATTCTACCTGACAAAGCCTGAATTTGTGCCTCTCAATGTCTGTGACACTAGCTAACATATCTTACTTGTAGATGCATTGAGAAAACCAAATGGAAACAAACCTGCAAGATTTCCATAATCTCGGAAAATTCGAAAATCAGTATCTCCTGGAATTTTCCCTGTCTGAAAAATCTCTTGATTAAAAACGGATGCTGAGGGATATTTCACGGACTCGATGTAGCTTCTAATCAACCAGGGATTCTCGGGACCTTTTAATAACCAATTTAAACATGTCATTATCTTTATTGAAAGGGGTTAATATTAGTAACCACAGTTGGGTAAGTGTTAGTTTCGAGATAATGTTGAGGTAAAATCTACAGTCTGTAATTTAAAGATACATTATGCAAGAGCTAAATCTGTCTATTGCAGGTCTTTCTTTAGGCCTGATATGTTATCTAAATTATTAATTAGACATTAATTAACTTATCCAGACCATAATCAACTCTCGATGTCATCGATAGCCTGCAATGTTTATTGGATTAGGTTCCGATTTGCTGTTCGACTTCCATTCATGATTTAATCATGAAATGGATAATCGAGACTATGATTTTTATCGTACCGACTGTAGTAATGATGATCGAGGCTAGGCCAAAAATTCAATCGCTAAAATTTCAGTTCACAGTGGATCAATTTGACTGAAATTTTCAGCGAGTTCCCTTTACATTATCTAGTTTTTAACTACTATAGTGAGACCTGCCAGCTCTTTATCTAATCTCCCATAATGTATCTTGGGATTGGTAATCCGGAAACTTGAAAGTAGTTCCAATGGCGGACTTCGTCATACAGCCGAGGCTAGATGTAGGGTACTGGAATCTGCTGAGGTTTGCCGAGTGCATAAAGTCTTGTCACATTTTTATTCTTTTGTAGATGATGGGGACATCTCTACAACCCTTGAAGTAATTATTAGAAAAGTTTTTTCTAGTGTTAACATAATCTGTTAACTGTAACGTGTCTTTCACCAGTAACAAGGGGAACCCACGCTAGCAAAATCTTTGAAACTTTCTCAGCAAACGCTCTGATTAAACCCCAGAGCCCTTTGTCTGTGAGCCGAGCCAGCGCCTTACTCACCATGCTATCGTGGCACATAAATGTAGATGTAAGTAAAGGGAAGAAACTATGTCTTAATCTCACCTGTTTGAAACACCACCTCCCATCCACCAGCACCAGTTGCCTCCAAATTAACAAAAGCTTTGATTGTTTTACCCCATGGATGTTTGGTTATAAATCCATGACTTGCCTGAAACATACATGTATATACAAGGGCGTTATCAGTGATTGGGGTGTATCCATAGCATGGTTACTAGAAATTATAGAGAGAGAGAAATGGGGTTTAATGTCCTCTCGACACAGACTGGGTCATTTCGGGACAAACATACATGTATGGTTTAATTTTATTTCAATAATTTGCTTGCGTGTAGGGGTCTTTAGCAGTGGGAGGAAAACGGAGGACCCTACTCCTTGTCATGTACAACCAGGGATTCGAAACCACGCCAGTTGACTCAATGATAGGCCTTATGATACAGTGCGCACATGCTAACCATTCGACCATCCAACCCCCCAGAAATTATAGCAATTCACTATAAGAAGTGGTGTTCTAGGAAGACTAACAAGACCTGTGGTGGGCATTGTGTTCATTTATCTGGACATATTGATAAATCATCACCCACAGCGATATGTCATCATTCACACTCATTAATAAGTCATCGTTTACAGACAGTGACAAGTCATCATTCTCACCCATTGATAAGCAATCATTCACAGTGATACATGTAAGTCATCATCCACACGCAGTGGTACATGTACATGTAAGTCATCATTCTCTCCCATAGATAAGTCATCATTCTCTCCAATAGATAAGTCATCATTCACACAGTGATAAGTCATCCTTCACACACCATAAGTCATCATTCACACACAGTGATAACTCATCATTCACACACCATAAGTCATCAAAATATTAATATTACAAGTTACAGAAACTTCTCAAAAAATGAAATCATCATTCACACCCAGTGATAAGTCATGATTCACACACCAAAGTCATCATTCACACCCAGTGATAAGTCATGATTCACACATCTCGAGTGGTTTGAGCCAGTCTAAGGAACCGTTACTCTAAATCTAGTGGTGCCAATAGGTGAGGTTCAGGACAGGGTACATACATGTAAAACTTACCTGCAAGATATTTTCCTCTGCCCCATTAAAGAGGAAGATGATGTTATTTTTAAACGGTTCCGTGTGTTGAGAAAACGAACGCAGCATCTCCAACATAACACAACAACTAACTGTATCATCACTACCACCTAATACAATCAAAATATTAATATTACAAGTTACAGAAACTTCTCAAGAAATGAAATCAACGAAAGAGAGAAAAAACAGTCTATGGGAATATTGTGCCGTCTAGTGTGTTATAGGTTTTTTTTGTACCATCTGAACAACTAGATACATTTCCTTGTCAGGCGCTCTGTCCTGCATCATTGACAATTCAACCTGTATAAGGGAGAGAGAGAGAGAAATGGGGTTTAACGTCCACTCGACACAAACTAGGTCATTTCGGGACTAACATATGGTTTAATTTTATTTCAATAATTCGCTTGCGCGTAGGGGTCTTTAGCAGTGGGAGGAAACCGGAGGACCCAGAGAAAACCCACGAGGTTTGACAGGCAACCCTACTCCTTGTCACGTACAACCGGTGATTCGAAACCACGCCAGTTGACTCAATGACAGGCTTTATGATACAGCACGCACGTGCTAACCATTCGGCCACACAACACCCCCTGTATAAGGGAACACCAGACAGAAAATCAAATGGAGCTTTCTTGGCCGGCAACAAGATCGAATCCAGAACCTCCTGGTGGGTCTATAGATTTACCCAGTAACCCAAAACAACTTTAACTACCAAAAACACTGTGGCTCCGTGATCAAAGTTATACAACTTTTGGGGATTGTTGGCTGATCTGACTACTACCCTAACCCTAACCCCCATAATCCACATACAAACCTAAGAAAAAGTAATCAGATCAACCAACAGCGCCAACTTTTGTCCATATATTTAACATTAAAGGCTCAATACCACTCTTATTGTAACTGAATAATATGTCCCAATCTTTATTCTGGTCAACAAATTGTACTATTTTACAATATTCCAATTAATTGATGATACAATTTCATCTTAACACAACTAATTTAAAAAATTCGAAAAATTCAACTAAATGATTTGAAAAGCCTTACGTAAAGCTTTTCAAATGTGACTTGGATTTAAATATATTTTTGAACCCTTTGGACAAGTAAAATAGAATTTAATGGATAATTTACACAACAGGTGGGACACTAACATATCTAGTACTTAGAATAAGGCTATTTTTTATTTTCTGGAGCTGTCAAGCCAGCAAGAGTGTTATTGTCCCTTTAAATAAAATAATTATTTACTAACCTGGACTATCAAGAAATGTGTCATAGTGACAATTGACCAGTACACTATGATTCGAAGGATTGTCTTTCCGGGAAAAGTTTACAATAATATTATTGATATTTTTATAAACACTTGTTAAATGTCCGACCAGAAAATCAATCGCAAAATCACCATCCACTATCTGATTATCCACTTCTATTTGATGTGGTTCTGTGGCTCCGACACGGATTTCTTCAATGGTCTTCAAAATCAAATCTTTAGCTTTCAAATTTGCTGCACTGCCAGTAACTCTTGGCCCAAGTTTCATAAATTCATTTAAGTTTTTTCTAACTCTTTCCTCGATAAAATCTGTCACAGAATTTTGTGGATCGCCTATAAATTTTGGCGTCGGGAAACTGTTATTCTGGCGAAAATTGATGAAAAACACAATGAATCCATAAAAAATAATTAATAGGAGATATACTGAAATACCATCTAAAGCTCGACCATCATCTGATGATCCCTTCTTTTTGTCATCATTCAGAGAACTACCATTTTTAAATTCATTATGCCTATCAAATCCAGGTTTTGGAGGTGCACCCCTTTGCCTGAGTAGAAAGTTTGTCTCATCCATTTCACCTGGACTTCGGATCTATATATCATCCAGTTTTTACTTTTAAGAAAGATTAAGTTTCCCCAAAACAGGCAAAGCTATATTTTATCTACGGTATAAGTTATAACTACATCCAGTTGTGAATGCCCTGAAAATTAATTTAAAACTTTCTTTTTTCAAATTTACTGATTCGTTGCAAATTGATAAATAATTAAAAAACACTGATTAAATTAACATCTATGATCTAGGTAATATTTATTATAAGGTTATCTTTAAAACTGGAAAGGTTTGAGACTAAATAATTGTGGCTACAAAACGAAAAGAGCACATGCGACACGATTATTTTACTGTCCTGTGTCAAACAGAATCAGACTGAATAAATTCAGTGAACAAATCCATTGGAAAAATATCTCCGCGACAACTCTGTCAATGCCAACATTTCGTGTAATAGCAAGCCTTGTCTTGCTCTAACCTCACCAACCAATTTTGTCGGTCCCTTTGATTTCCCGGTCAGTGACACCTGGGAGTCCACGCTTGGATAACCAAATCTCACAAACCGTAGCGCCGCCTGTTGTTCAATTTGCCACGGAACACGATCATAATAATGTCGAAAGAAGGTGTTGGAGGACGATTTAAGCCGAACGAAGGCGACTGGGTCTGTGGTGACCAAAAGTAATAATCATTACCTATATGAAAATGAAATATTTAGCAGTTTTTGGCACAACACTAGTCAAAATTCAGCTTGAGACGTCCAACAAATATTTTTATTAGGGAAAGATAACTCTATTTTGTTATGTTTATAATTTTGTTTCATCAATTAAATACAAGCAAGAAGTTAATGAAGAGACATTTGCTGTTATTTTCAAGAAGTCTTTGATAATAAACATAAGTGAATGGTTTCATTTTATTAGCGGTAATAGTAATACAAAAGAAACAATTGCTACCACAAGTTACAGGTTGAGGAGCTATACTCCGACTAACTCCTAATAATAGTTCAGCTCAGAATTCGGGTCTCATTACTGTTACATTCGCCCTGTACGTTCAGGAACCGCCCTATTGAATCCTTGTCGAAAAAGTTTTGGGGCCCCAGTCAATTTTACAGGGCAACTTTTTACTGCTAAATGGTCGCGTGGCAGTCTCTGTGAATGCCTGTAGCTGTACAATGTAAAGAAACATTTTTATAATGAGAAAAAAAGACCTTACTTACCTCACTAGAGTCAGTATGTGCGACACAACATGCTGTTAAAAATACATCCCCTTTTGCTAAACAGTTAATTGGCAGAAGCCATTGAAATCTAAGTATAGGGTAACATGCAAATTTACGTAACTAGGCATATATGACGAAACAAAATTTAGGTAAGCAGGAGGGGAAAAATAGGAATCTTTGAAAAGTTGATAATCTTCAGTCATTTATTGCTTTGCCTAGCCCAATTACAATTGAATACTCATCAAAACGTCACCCAAATGTGTTAGTAGCGGTTTTCTTCCGCCTCATTTCCATTTGTTCAGAAATGTAATGTTTTTTAAATCTGTTATAATGTTTGTCTATTTTCAGATGTGGAAATGTTAATTTTGCCAGAAGAACAGAGTGCAATAAATGTGGAGCCAGCAAGAACCAAATTAGTAAATATTTTTATATTTCGCCTTAATATCTAAACTTTGTAATGACTATATAGATGGACATTATAACTTTGGTAACCAGACAGCGCAATCCAAAGACCACTCGGAGCAACCAAAAAGACAAGTCAAGCGAGTTGATAGACATTTCAGGTTAAGACAGAAGTGGTCTATCAACTGATCCGACGGCTCTTGGTCCGAGTGATCTATGGTCCAAGATGTCATGCATTTATAACTTTATGCCTGACATACATTTGTGTTGGTCAAACCATATCTTAATCCACACTAAAATGTAAACAAATTGATTATTTAGCTATTATTTAGACATTAGAATCCAAATATCTACCGTAGATAAATTCCCGGCTTGGATTCAATCAGATTAAAAAAGAGATCCATGAAAAGATTTCTGCAAAATATCAAAGACGACGTTGGCTTGTGTATCATCTGTAGTGGAAGTTGAATGTGGACAAATTTTCATTGATGTAAATACTTAACGAAATTGAACCATTTTTTGACTGATATTCTTTGATTCAACTTTCACAATATTGTAGTTTGCAAGAGAGTAAACGTACCTCAAATGAAGATCAGAGACTTTATCAATGTATATGTATATATATGTAGCACTGTTGTAATTCACTGGCTACATCTGTCTTATTAATTGATTCAATGTCATTTAGTAATTGAACTGGAAATATAGGCCATGTCTCTCCCTCTGAATGAAAAAAGTAGATTTTGTTCATAGCATAAAAGACTGAATAATCTAGCCCAAAAGTCAAACAAATAGATATTCTCAAATGTTAACAACCGATCCAGACTAATATTTGTAGAGAGTTTAATTATGTATAGAAATTGTTCAGATTTATTTGGACGTATGTAATATTTTATTTATCAGTTAAGAAAGATGGAAGTGTTATTAAAAAAGGTGGAAGTGAAATTGGTAAAACAATGGCTGAGAAGAGTAAAGGATTGTTCAGTGCCGATGATTGGCAGTGTAAAAGGTAAAATGATTTTAAGATTAGGTCCAATTTCTGGGTCCAAAGGAGAAACAACTTTCTTACGTAGGAACAAACAGCGATCGTCATTAGCCAAGTTGATACAGAAACGTAGGATGTTAAACCCCATTTCGGGAACAAACAAAATTTTTGATGTTTTTAAGCCTAGGTAAAAGGTCACCTTTCACAGGCTTTGTCAGGTACAAATACAGACTTGATCAAGCACTATTTCTCTAGTGCCTGTCAGCATGTATTTTTATCCATATTTCAAATTTAAAATGTCAGGTAAGCTGACTAGTTAATTAGTGCCTGACTTTTCTCATATATAACTGATACCATTATTTCTGGGCCTGAATAGCCTAAAAACTGAGTAGAGGGAAATGCCACTGCTCAGTCCAAATTTTCGCAAGAATATATCAGGTATCATGTATCAGCTGCTGTTATGGAATTGTTTTTTTCCAGGTAAATATATTGTAAAATTTGATTTCTATATTACAGCTGTGGTAATGTAAACTGGGCACGTCGTATGACCTGTAATGTTTGTAACACACCTAAATATGGTAAACTGGAGCAAAGAACAGGTGAGAATACACAAAATATTTGGTGGGGGGGGGGGCAGTAGTGGAGCAACACCTATCGATTAAAGTGTCCTAGGGTTTGAATCCTGACATGGACCAAAAAGAACCTCAGGGTATCAGAGGTGACACCTGCAGGACTGACAAGGAAATTGTCCCTAGTCGTTAGGATGGGATGTAAACTGATGTCCACCCACGTTCACATTATCGTACATCAGGGCTCGAATTAGCGGGCGACTTGGGCGAAATAGTCGCCTAACCCATTGATGACTTCGCCCTAAAAGGCAATAGGGCGAAGTTGAAGTCGCCCTCACTTCGCCGTACATTTGTGCAAGGGCGAAGTAGGTAACAGGCATCGATATCAACGGTAAACAAAGCATTTTCTAAACAACACAACACGTGTTCGCATTGTGAGCTTCGAAAGGAAAACTGAAAATTAAATAAGTTGTGAAAAGCAAAACATGTATTAATATTTTGTTTTTCGACTTTCTCTGTGTTGGCTGTGACAATGTTTAATAGTTTCAATGATAAACATTGTATTTGATGTCAACAGGAAATACAATTCTTTAAAATAAAGCGAAGGAATCGTATCGTAAATCTCCCTTACAACCTCTGACTTCGTCCAGAAATAACAGCCAACCAAAAGCTGCGATGGCCAATATGGTGGCGGATACGATAATTTTCATGTATTTCTGTCTAAGAATTAGAATAGACAAAGTACTGAATTGGTCCTCTTTCTTTGAAATAATTTAATAATAAAAAGAATAATAAACATAAAACTTGTGATTGAAAGGTGACGAAAGGTGTACATTGTTGTGTCAACATGGTACAGTCAATAAAGAACAACATGTGTGACGAGTGAAAATAGCGTTGGCGTACATTTCTGTAGACGGATGGAGATAGCCTATTAAAACAATTGTTATCAGAATGATGACAACATGTATTTAGAATGTGTTGATAGGTATAATGTCGGGTTGATAATTAAATCTACATGTACGTCAATATTATTAGTTCCACTAATCTAAACACATAAACGTAAAACAAAGAAGGTAAGTGAGTGGTGTGTCAAAACAATAATTTCATACATAACATTGTCGTAACAATATGACTATCCTATTGTGAAAGGTGCTAAAACAATCACACAATAGACCCAGGACTAGTAATTAAATGTATTTAGGCACGAAAGGGTATAAATATTGATGTATTTGATAGAGCGGTATCACAAATCTTATTTGTATTGCTAAAGTCAAGTCTGTCTTATTACTAGTATATGTAATTTATTATCACAGTAATTTTGATACCAGTAAGAGTATGATGACATACTGAAATAAATATATGTGTGCAGCTAAACGAGTCTCCCTATGTCTCCCTCACTTCTCCCTATTCTGTCTGTAGGGAGAAGTCACTTCTCCCTAAAATTTGTCCCTAGTTTGAGCCCTGTCGTACATGTAAAAGAATCATTATCAGATGGAGGTCTTAGAAGAGTGGGCAAAAATGCTGCTGTATGGGCAAAATTCTCCCCTTTTACATTGCACACATAAAGGGTTGAAATGAAATTCCCATATGTTAATTGTTAATCTCAAAATGTCAGTGAACCTGATTCCTTCCCATTGTTTGAAATGCAGCTGTCTGGGCAAAATTCTTCCCCTCACATTACACATGTAAATGTTCAAATTGAAAATTATGGTATGATGGTCTCCCAATGTCAATGAAACCCATTCATTTCACAATTGACCGAGAAAGTTCATCAGAATTTCCTGCATGGTTTCCCCCTTGTTAGTAGTGCAGAGTGGGCCTGACAAAGACAGCTGTCTAGTCATTTGGATGGGAAGAAAAACCGAGGTCCTGTTTACACATTGGCATGCACGTTAAAGATCCCTTGGCAGTTGGAATTTGGTATAAGAGTAGGTCATAGCGCCACTGCCTCGGCAAAATTTCCCTTATAGCATAAATTATGGCGTATGCCCAGTCGGAGCAGAACAGTAGGATGTTAAACACTATTTCATTTCAGTGAACATAATTGTTTTGTTTATTTATGAAAAAGCAAACAATAACATCACTTTCTTTAAAATATTTTAACTTTATTTAATGTCTTTTAAATTATCTAGAACAAGAACATCATTAATACAGTAACATGAACTAATGTTTAACTTTACATAACAAAAATAAACACATCTACATGGTAATGAACAAGGTTTTGTATTGCAGCCCAGGGGCCTTATTCACCAAAAATTAAACTAAAATATTTTATAGATGCAGCCTTTTCATTGGTTGAAATTTAAGATCCTAGTACAAATTGTAGCTCTTGGCCAATGAAACCACTGAATACTTTAAATATTTTAGTTTAAACATACATTATGTAAGATTTAGATAATGAACTGTCCGTTCTTGCTAGAATAGTTCAAATAGATAATGCAAAATGTTAGTAGTTTTGACAAGATTTGTGCATTGATTGTTTATTATTGTAACCACGATGATGGTTATTCAAGGCTTAGCATCGGTTCTCCATTTTTAAATTAAATCATTAAATGTCCAACCAAACCATTCCAGTCTACTTAAAATTGGAGGCATCCGATGTCATCGAGAGTGGTTTATGCTCTTGCCATGTTAATAAATATCTAATAATTTATATCACATTTAAGGCCTAAAAAAGACCTGCAATAGGCAAATTTAGCCCTTGAATAATGCCCCTTTAAATTTTTCTGAATAAGGCCCCAGAATCATATTGTAATATATTTTCAAACTACCAGGGGCCTTATTCATTACATCTTAAACTAAAATATTTTAACAATTCAGCATTTTCATTGGCTAAGAATTCAAATCTTAGTACAAATTTTACTTTTTAACAAATGAAAAAGCATCAATCTTGACATATTTCATTTCAAAATTTTGTGAATATGGCGCCAGATGTATTGCAATACTTTTATTTATTTTTATTTTTATTGTGGAATCTGAATCTTGAATGGTATTGTAAAAAACAAATTATGTGTTTCAGCTCAAAATTGTATTGCAATATAATGTGATACCAATCTGTTTAAAACGTTTCGTTTCGGTTTTTTTTATAGTTCAAAATTTTGTTTTACTTGTTTTTACTACACTAGAATCTGGAACATCAACACTGATTGGTTAATTAAAAGTCTGATATCATAGGGTCAAAAGCGACCTCCCACTACAACTGGTCAGATCTTCATGCAGTGGAGGCCATCAAAATTATAAAAAATGAAACGAAATATAGATCTGAATTTTAATCAAATTAATGTGATACATTAAAGGCTCAATACCACTCTTGTTGTAACTGAATAATATGTCCCAATCTTTATTCTGGTCAACAAATTGTACTATTGTAGACTATTTCAATTAATTGGTGATACAAATTTTATCTTAACACACGTTATTTAAAAATTTTGAAAAATTCAACATAATGATTTGAAACGTCTAACGTAAACCTTTTCAAATGAAACTTTGATTTAAAAATATTTTCGAACCCTCTGGACAAGTAAAATAGGATGTAATGGATAATTTACACAACAGGTAGGACACTTAAACATCTAGTACTTAGATAGAGATATTATTTATTTTCTGGAACTTTCAAGCCAGCAAGAGTGTTATTGTCCCTTTAACAAAAACTTGAACTAAATTATTTTAAAATTTCAGTCATTTTATTGGCCAAGAGATAAAATTTGTACTAGGCTTTTAATTTAACTCTCGACCAATAGTGTCTGCATTCTTCAAATATTTTAGTTTTCATGAAAATTGTTCATATATTTATTAAGTTAAGGCATTTGGATTTCAACTAGTGTCGAAATATACTAAACTAAAATTTCAATATAGTAAAATTAAGTTGTCTAAAGTAAAACCATCAATATTGTTCAAACATCATTTTTATTATGCTATCCTTTGGTTTAGAAAGCAATAAAAAAAAGGTGTGTTTCCATACAATTTAATAATTTCTAAAAATCAGTCTATTTGAAAAAAGGGGGGGGGGGAATAATTACAGATTTCTTACTGATATAAGTATTGTGGAAAACCCATATTACAAAATATTGATATCTTGATATGGAAATATATATGTAACAGATTAAAATGATTAAATATATACATTTTAATTATGTATTGATTAATATATTGATTAATTAGTGATTGATTAATTAAATGATTGATTAATTAAATGATTGATTAATTAAATGTTTGATTAATTGATTTATTTCTTTGATTTTATGATCTGTTTATTAGGTTATGGAGGCGGTTATATGGAAAGAGATGAAGTCGTTGAATACAAAGAAAAAACAGGCGATGATGATGAAGGGGATTATGATGAGGTATGACAAAATACATGTTTGAAGAGTTATTCCCCTTTGTTAATTGATCTTGTTAGCACCATATTATATAAGCTTTATTTATGAAGTGAACTGCAATCTATTTTTATTAACTTTTAATAGTTTGTGTTAACTCAGGGGCATTTATGTTTCTGACATTGAAATCAGGGCCGGATTAAGACTGCATGGGGCCCCTGGCTGAAAATGTCACTGGGATACTTTTATTAACAGTGAAAAGAGGATATATTCTAGTCATTGTCCATCATACTCACACAATTTCAATTTCTATGTCAGTATGGTAGACAAACATTTGACTAATTGCAGATCGGGGGCACTCACTTTCGTAAAAAAAAATATATCACCAATTGCAGATCAAGGCACTCACTTCATAAAAAAAATATGAACAAATGCAGATCAGAGCACTCTCTTCAAAAAAAAAATTTTCGCCATGGAAAACATTTTGATCATGATTAAAAGTGAGTGCCCTGATCCTGATTTTTTGTTTTTGTAATTTAGTTTGGTAGATTAAAGAAAGGTAAAAGAGGAAAGATTGGACCGGTTCCTTCTATAATATCAGTTAAACCACCAATTGACGATGATGATGAAGAAGATGATGATGATGATGATGCTGATGTTTCCAAATATAAATTAGAATCGGACGATGAAGATGTGAGTTATTTTATTTACTGTTTTTGTGGAATTAAATCTGTGCAATTTGTTTTAACTTTAATCTTGTTAATTAAAGCCGCTGATCGTTATTTCAGGTATTTTGAATCCTTGCAAACTAAAATAGAATCTTTTTAAAGAAATGGAATAAAATGAAATGGGGTTTAACGTCCTACTGTTCTGCCCCTATACTGGGCCAATGAAGACGGACATACGTCAGTGTGCTATGAGGGAAATTTTGCCCAGGCAACGGCACTATGGCCTACTCTTATATCGATTTCCAACTACAAAGGGATCTTTTACGTACATGCCCATGTATACACGGGACCTCAGTTTTTTCGTCCCATTCGAATGACTAGATAGCTGTCCTTGTGGGGCCCTCCATCTTACAACACTGACAAGGGAAAACCAACCCGGAAAATCCCAATGAACTTTCTTTAAAGAAACATCAGTCCAAAAATGTTTCAAATCCGTTCAAGATAGTATGAATTAAAAAAAAATTTGCACCATTGGGCATCAGTCCAAAAATGTTTCAAATCCGTTCAAGATAGTATGAATTAAAAATTTTTGCACCATTTGACATCTTCTTAGATAATATAAACAAGACGGCACCAGTAGATATATATTATGGATAAAATCTTTTGATGGGCATCTTTTAGTCTGATTGAATTCAAGCCAGAAGGTTATCTGCCTTTGTTTTCTTAATTACATTTGTTAAATAATTAATTTGAGTACATTTTGACGGGGGTGTCACGGTGGCTAAGTGGGTAAGACGCTGGGGCGCTAGCCTGGAGGTCGGGTGTTCGATCCCTGCATTGGCCGAGAAAGTTCACCCAGATTTTCCGGCGTGGTTCCCCCTTGTCAGTGTTGCTGGAAGGAGGGCCTGACAAGGACAGCTGTCTAGTCATTCGGATGAGACGAAAAACCGAGGTTCCGTGTACACATTGGCGTGCATGTAAAAGATCCCTTGACAGTTGGAATTCCATATAAGAGTAGGCGGTAGTGCCGCTGTCCAGGCAAAATTTCCCTCATTGCACACTGTATGGCGTATGCCCGTCTTCATTAACCCAGTTCGGAGCAAAACAGTAGGACGTTAGACCCCATTTCATTTCATTTACATTTTCAGGGGCCTCTTTCAATCTAATTAAAAATACAAATGATGATCAGCAGTTTTAATTAATGTATAAAATGAATCATATCAACAAAATAACCGTCTATTGTTAGTTGTAATTGGATGATGGCTGCAATCTGATTAAAACACAGATCCTATTTCGTTTCGTTTTTATAGTTCAAAATTTCGTTTACTTGTCTTTACTACACTAGGATCTGGAAGAGTTGTTATCATTGACATGTTCTGAATGGTGTGAGGGATTAACCAATGAAACGGTCTGTGGGTAATCCACTAATAACATCAATGCTGATTGGTCAATCAAATGTCTGATGTCAAAGGGTCAAAAGTCGCTCGTACGACCTCTGACGCAACCTATCGCTACAACCAGTCAGATCTTCATGTAGTGTAGGCCATCGAAAATATAAATATTAAAAAAAAACGAAACGAAATATAGATCTGTATTTTAATCAGATTGATGATTGCTGCTGTTAGTTTTTTTTTTTGGTGGGGGGGGGGGGGGGTTGAGGTTATGCCATTGTTAAAATACAATAAATTGTCAAGTATGTTTGATGATCAATTATAACTGTTCTTAGAGCATTATCAAACTATAAGGAATGCATGTAAATCAGAATGTATTACGTCAGGTCTGGAAATGACCAAAAAGGGAATGTGATCCTGTATGAATATAATCTGTTGCATCCAGGTCGGGAAATAACAATTTTATTTACACCTGACAAAATGTCATGCACTACTGAACTAGTACCTTGTGCTAGACAAGTGTTAAAAATATTAAATAAAAATGCTGAGAACAGACAAATCAGCACCAGGCCAAATAACCGTCACCAGAGACATTGTGGCGGAGAAAGTTTGAATTTGTGCCAGGCAATGTTTGTGACAGGTACGCCGCCTTATTTCCAGACTCAAATCACTCATGGACGACGGTCATTGCTTACAAATCAATCAATTCCCTACGCACTATCAAAGAACATTAAGAGTTACAGCGATTAAAATGGTGTCTTTTGCAATTTTGTAATTTGTGTTATATAAGACAAAATGCACCAAAAGGCTAGCATTTTCCTTATTCACATTTAACACAAAAAGAGGATTAAATTTGATTTATATAGTGATCGTGACGATTAAAAAAAAAAACTACACTAGACTAAAAGTTTGACTGAAAGTTTGTGTGCAATTTAATAATAATAAAGCATGCTTCTAAGCGTACACACTAAGCACAAGGACAAATCAATTACAATTTTTTTTTGCAAAAAAGCGTAAAAATTTAATCATTAATACAACCGAAAAGAAAATTATACTGATTATTCAATATTAAAACCCACCACCTGGCATTAAAATGTGATTATCTATAAATTATACTGATTATTCAATATTAAAACCCACTCCCTGGCATTAAAATGTGATTATCTATAAATTATACTGATTATTCAATATTAAAACCCACTCCCTGGCATTAAAATGTGATTATCTATAAATTATACTGATTATTCAATATTATAACCCACCCCCTGGCATTAAAATGTGATTATCTATAAATTATACTGATTATTCAATATTATAACCCACCCCCTGGTATTAAAATGTGATTATCTATAAACTATACTGATATTATATTTAATAACGGGGATCCTTGATTGTCAGTCCGGAACGCCCTGAATTGACAGAATAGCAATGGAATGACGCAGAATTGTAATTGAATTATATTGGGGATCCTCAATTGTCAGTCCGGAACGCCCTGAATTGACAGAATTGCAATGGAATGACGCAGAGTTCAGTCCTGTGACAGTTCTTTCAGTCGTGACTACAGAGGTGGTGTGAGTAGAATTAAACACAACGAATATATTTCGTCATACTTTCTTATGCAGTTGACGCATGCGTTGTAGCCGGAAATCCTCCTTTTCACTCAATTGTCACTATTTATGGTATTGAGAGAATTAAGTTCCGGAATGTTCAATGAAGTAACCCTATTATAATTGATTAATGATGATATACAACAGACAGATGTTTAATTATTCAAGTAGGGAGGCCTAGTTATTACGATCTATGATAAATTAGCCAATCAGGACAATGGTAGGAATGAATTAGCCAATCAGGGTAATGGTAGGTTACATGTTTCACATGCCGTATATTTTGGAAGGCCTTCAATTCTGCTGCGCCCTCTACCGCGTACATTTTCTTTAGGCAGTACAAACTCTTGGAAATTGGGTATTTGGCGCCAGATGCTTAGATCGATATCCTCCGTGTACAAGACCTCTATGTGCATAGCCTTTGTCGTACGGTAACCATGGCGTCTGTCATAATACATGAATTTGTTATTTTTTAAGTCCAGCTTAACCAGACGATTACAACAGTAGACATCTTCCACACTGCCAGGAACAGTTAGCACAAGGGTTACGTAGTGTGGACTTCGGATTTTTTTACAATAAAAATCAGCGAAATACAGATTATGCCCCGGAAGAATACTCTGGGGTGGAATAGTTATTCTGTAATCGCCAAAAAATGAAATCTCAAGTGGTTGTTTCGTTACCTTGCTGGCAGACGCACTGAAGTGAAGTCCGTTTATTTTCTTGTTTATGCTAGATGCCTGGTCGCCATTTTTATCTTTTATATATTTGGACATTACTCCAGTTGCCTTGGCTTCGATGATTTTCTCATGGTTGCTAGGTTTATCTCGATATAGACAGGGAATTGGTAGTGATTTAGAATGATGTCTGTTTTTTGTTCGTCTCAGCCGGTATTTTTCTGCCAGGTCTAATAAAAGTTGAACATCCCTTTGTTGGTAATCTAAAATACAGATATATACTCTTCAAAAAAAGTAGGGGATATTGAAATGCAAATACCTATGCAGGTTGCGATATGATAAATAGTCATGGACATTTGACATGCTTTGAGAATATGTCCACAGATGAAGAATTTATCGCCCCAACAGAACAACTGAGCTGCACATGCGACACGCAATAGCGCCATACATGTGGGAGGGGTTCATTGTCAAATTTGACACTTCAAGGAAGGGTTGATGAAAACTGTCGCGTGCAGGTTTATCTATTCATGCTTGCTTTCCTATCTGTTCTTGCATAAGATTTACTGTTTAGCGTATCTTTGCTTTAGTGTGTTACGTTTAATTTGATCGGGAGACGTGTTCGTCAACGTCAACCGACAACACTGCAAGAATTGGCCGTGGCACTGCAAGAGGTGTGGGTCAGATTGTCCCAAATCATGATTGGACGGTTGATTAGGAGCATGCCATGACGAATTGCTGAATGTCTGAGGATTGGTGGAGCAATTACTCATTATTAAGACAAAAATCAAAAACGTCAATTTCACTTTCGTCGGTTTATGGTCTCTTTGCGAGTGAAATGGGGCCGTCAGATAAGCTGCCCATATGGACTGTTTATGTTCATGTGTAGGCAATTGGCCTGTTGTTAACATACACTGGTTACCTCTAATAAAAACAGCAGTGCATTTCAGCAGTTTTGTATTGTTTCTGAATATCCCTTACTTTTTTTGAAGAGTATATTTTAGGAAAGTTTGATGCTGCTGACTCCTTTATAAGTTGGGGGAGCCACATTGGCTAACTAGGGAAGAGGCTGACTCACTAGCCAGGAGGTCCCAGGGTTCGATCCCGGTCTCAGCTGAGAAAGTTTCATGGGATTTTCCAGCCTGCTTTCCCCTTGTCAGTGGTGCAGAACAGTCGTTCAGGTGGAGTGAAAAACAGAAGTCCCATGTGCTCTCTAGCATGCACACTACAGGACCCTTGGCTGTTGGAATTTGTTTGAAGAGGAGGTGTAAATGCCACGATACTGGCAAAATTCCCTCATTCACGGCATGACATGTGCCCATCGTCATTAGCCTGGTTGGTGCTGAAAAGTGGGACGTTAAGTGCTGAAAAGTGGGACGTTAAACCTAATGCTGTTACATCAATTAGACCGGAAAATTATGTTTTTCTCCAGCGTTTTGATTATCGTAAAGTCAGTGCTTGACGGGAATAAAAGTCAGTGCTTGACGGGAATAAAAGTCAGTGCTTGACGGAAATAAAAGTCAGTGCTTGACGGAAATAAAAGTCAGTGCTTGACGGGAATAAAAGTCAGTGCTTGACGGGAATAAAAGTCAGTGCTTGACGGGAATAAAAGTCAGTGCTTGACGGAAATAAAAGCCAGTGTTTGAAAGGAAAGAAGTCACTATTTGAATGGAATAAATGTCAGTGCTTGAATAAAGGCTTCCTTTAAATTGAAAAAATAAACCTTACTCTATAATTTGTTGATGACAAAGTTGGTTAGTTTCAACATTTATTTACTAATTAAAACCAAACAAACTGATGAAGTAAGGTGCTCAAATACAAAGCTCTCACAAATTTGATTTTAGGCAAGCAAAAGCAACAGCTTTTCTTTCGTTTCAAACATTGACCAGTTCCCTTTTTCATATATACATGTACTTACGAATAATAAACGTTGTTTTATCAGTAGCACCTAGAACAGAATATTTGCCACCAGTTTTTAAAACTTTGAAAATTTTAAATGTGCATTCTTGTCTTGACGGCAAGTTGAGTGGACACAGTATTTCATTGTTATTGGTGGAGGAAACAAATACATGCTCGGTAAATGTAGTACCTGTCTTACCAGTAGTATTGGATTTTATTATTTGTATATAAGATTCAGGATGTTTGGATGATAGTGACTTTTGTGTAATTTTAAAAACAGTGTAAGGCTGCTGTGTGTCTTGATGAATTTCTTGGTTTACATCTACAGGCAGATTCTCTGGCGGGATCTCCTGGGAAAAAAAATTCATAAAATGAAATAGGGTTTAACATCTGTAGTAATTGAACAAATGAAGACTGACATATGCCATGCAGTGTTCTATGACAGAAATTTTGCCAGGACAGCAGCTTTTATGCCTATTTGAGAGGGTGTGGATGGCCAAATGGTTAGCGCGTGCATGTTGTATCATACGGTCTGTCATTGAGTCAACTGGTGTGGTTTCGATTACACAGTTGTATGTGACAAGGAGTAGGATTCGCCTGTCCAACCTCGTGGGTTTTCTCCGGGTCCTCCTGCTAAAGATCCCTACGTGCAAGTGAATTATCAAAATACAAGCCTAGAATATCCAGCAATCCAGCATTTGTTTGCTAATATTGACCCAGTAGAACCATGTTAATTTAACGCGTTCTTCCCACTTCTTTGTTCAAGATATGTTAAGCACAACTCCATTTCTTGGCACTTTGAAGTTGCGTTAGGGAGACTTGCTAAAATAAACATTTATTTAAAAAAAAAATTAAAAAAAAGATATCAGTGGTCTTATACCTGCAGAGCTGTTTCTGGATTTAAAACACTTTTTCTTTCAACATGAGTGTGAAGTGTCAGATCTTGAATCTGTTTAGAATTTGGAAAAATGGCTATACTGTTGCTGATGACAACCTTTGAACTATCATCAAGGCCGTAGACTGTTACCATGACGGTAGCGTTTGTATCGTAATCTGCAGCCAATGACCATCGTTCCATCAGGTTAAACAGGTGGAATGCTTTCTGTGCCGTCTGCACGTTGTAAACTATAAACCATATATGGTGAACTTGATGTGACTTGCTCCACTGTACATTGACCCGGTGCGTCTGCTTTATGTCTAATACATGAATATTCTGTAAAAAGGAGAAGTATATAGGTCAGCCATTCTCAATCCTTTTTCTCCTGCTGACCCCTGGACATTTCACAAATTTTGAGGACCCCCCTATGTGCTTTGGATCATAAGATCTGTCATTGAGTCAAGTGAGGTGATTTCGATTCCCCGCTTGTGCATGACAAGGAGTAGGATTGCCTGTCCAACCTCGTGGGTTTCTTTCAGGTCCTCAGGTTTCCTACCACTGCTAAAGACCCCCTACACACAGGCAAATTATTGAAAAGAAAATTGAACCATATGTTAGTCCCAAAATAACCTAGTTTGTGTCAAACACCAATTCTCTCCCCACCCCCTCCCTCTCTCGCACAACTCCTTTAGCAAAAATGTAGAAAAATGCTAAATCGAGGAAATTACATATTAATGAACTATTAAGTCAGTCACTTGTCAAGAGACAGTTACAACAAGTCTGAGAGTGTTCTAGATTTGTCAATATTTCAGGTTTAATAAGAAATAGATAATAAGCAACCCTAGAAACTCGCCTAACCAGTGCCTTTCATGGCCTAGGTGAGGCCCAAAGCTGCATAAAGCTGGGAGACCCTAGACTGGTTAAAGCTCGGAGGCCCCCATATTCCTGAAGGAATGGCCCGAGAAATCCCTCTCTGGCCATTGCTGGATTAGCTTCTGATACTTGCGCTTTTGAGGGAGTGTGTCTAATCTTCCCGTTCAATCAAATCTATCCTCAAGCACAGCAACATGACAGTCCTTTTTTTAATCAGGGGCCTTCCCTAAAACTTTGGACAGTGATTTAAGGTATTAAAAATGGTGAAAGTGTTGTTCGACTCAAAACAGTATTGTTTACATTATGTCCGTGCTGAGCCTCGTTTGTCACACAATTAATTTTTTTCTGCAATATTCTGCTATGCACTGGTTAATTGGACATAATAAAATCGTGAGTCATGACATAACATTATGTAAATATATTTGATTCAATTTGGAGCTCTGTTTGGTATTGTTACGCATGCAGGTAGCTACTTGTTGATAATCGGACTATTGACATGTCATAATTTAGAACAAGAATTTGCCTTCTTTACAGCAGTGAGTAGTGGGATTAGCTCTAATCAAACGAAACACTGCAAGGAGTATGGGAGGCCCCGCATTCAAAAGTTACACCAACAGGTTTCACAAAGATTTTTACCAGAATAGGATGTGGGAACGTTACAAAAAAAATTATAAGCATAGAAATAATCTTGTAGCTTGTGCCTTAATCCAGCACCACCCCCTATCATTATTTTGTTGTCTGGATGAAACTTGAATCTGTTAATACACCTGGAATATTCTTCATTTTTAAGTAAACTATTTAATAGAATAAATTATTTAATAAAATGTCAGCTTGTTCATAACTCACTTTGATAATTTGATTATTCATCTTATTGTATCTTGTGATTGAAATCAATATCTGGTCTATAGGCTTTGTTCCACTTGAAATATGAATAGGTTAACTTCACTCCTTGTTGGTTTTATGCAGAATCACGTGTAGGCTACATTTCCAAGATATTAATCAAATGACTAGATTACATAGAAATCTGATTTTCTGCTTAAAATAGGCACAGAATTTCCTTTTTTTCTGTGAAATGAAAGTGAAAGTTGAAAATATTTCCAAGTAGCCTGTTACACAACATGGTATTGATTGATCTTGGTTATCCAGACCCTCCTTCATTAATCACATTGGTGATGTAATAATATTGATTATTAAAATAATGTAATGATTGGTTTCCATAGTGCTCAAAATGTACAATAACAAAATGTGAAGAAGATCTTTACAGTAAATTCTATTGGAGAAAATCTGGAAGTAAGAGTAGAAATTCAGTGGAAAAATGTAGAATTATGACGATATAAAGTGCTGAAAATTTTGTTCCAGTCATGTGCCTTACAATAACAAATAGATAAAAGAGAGAGAGAGAAATGGGGTTTAACGTCCACTCGACACAAACTAGGTCATTTAGGGACTAACACATGGTTCAATTTGATTTCAACAATACGCTTGCACATAGGTCTTTAGCAGTGGGAGTAAACCGGAGGACCCGGAGAAAACCCACGAGGCTGGACAGGCGACCCTACTCCCTTTCATGTACAACCAAGGAATCGAAACCACATCAGTTGACTCAATGAAAGACCTCATGATACAGAGCACATGTGTTAACCATTCGGCCATCCAACCGCCCAAAATAGATAAAAAGACCTGATGTCAACGACTGGTGATATCAGAGTGTTCATGTACTATTTTAAACATGTGATTCACTGTAACCTGATTATCTATACCAAGTTGAAGCGACTTAGTTCATTTCTTATGTAGTAGCGGTGAAAGATTTATTGTGTTTTTTCGTGCATTTAGATAAAGAGCTGATCATTCTTGCTATAATAGTTCAAAAAAAGATAATGAGAAATAAATTTATTATTCTGAGCGTTGGAAAGTTTGAAAAGATCTGGCATAGAGTATTCATTATTGTAGAACTAGCAATAATACTTGACAATAGAGTATAAGTCTCGATTATCCATTTTTATACGCCTACATTTTCATGTGGACCCTCTAGAAGTCACAATTTTGATCCGACTTTGATGAAACATAAAATATATAGATAGAATTCAATGGTCATTGAGTTCTGTTTTTATTCTATAACTACATGTAAATCTCAAAATACACTGTACTATCCAGATTATCAAAAACAAAATCACCAATAACGTTAAAATACATCATAGGTTCCGTCCTTTTTTCTTTCTTTTTTTTACAAAATTTGTGGTTGCTAGTGTTGACGTCATTACAGTGACGTCATTCTGGACAAAAGTAGTACATGAACAAGCCATTGAATACAACCATAGGTTATTCAATGGCTGTATTCAATGATATTTGCTTGTATTTGCATGTAGGTATCCCAAAGATCTCAGTTCCAGGATTATGACCCCTGATTGTACAAAAAAATCGTATTTTTATCTGATTTTAAAATTTGAAGGAATTATTAGTGAGCAGAAATTTGCCCTGTATCTGTTATCACTCGTCACTTTAGTCAGTTATATAGAAGGATAACTCATATTTTCCTTTGTGTTCATCACTTCTCTTTCGTGAAAGCTTCATAACGCATCTATCGTAGCAAAGATCTCTGTTTTAAAATTATATTTGGAATGCGGTTAACGAGTTCTATCACATATGAAGGGCCCAGGGGAAGACCGAGTGGATTTAATTACAACTTTAAAATGTTGTTTAATACAAATCATAATTACCAGTACAACAACTGACTTCCACTTTTCAGCCAAATTACGGTCAAATAAAGGGTACGATGGACTTGTATTTGTCTGGGAGGCCATTTCAGAAGGGCCTTAGTTCGATGTGACTCTGATCATTTTTACCTGAAATTGATTTTTTCACAGAAAGCATATACAATTTGCTACCAGATGGCGCCATTAACTGGGGTTCGTTGAAAAAGTGACTTAGATCCTTCTTCCCCGGGGCTCTTCATATGTGATAATGACTGATACCAACATTGTCCTTTAAAACTGTTATATCCAGACCTGGTAACCACGGTGATTGTTTTTTTTGTTTTCAGGATGATGATGCCGATTTATCTAAGTATGCTTTAAGTGATGATAGTGAAAGCGATTCAAAACCCAACTCAAAAACCAAATCTAAAAAATCTTCTCGCTCAAGATCAAGTTCTTCATCCAGTTCATCGTCAAGGTCTCGTTCTAGATCCTCCTCATCACGTTCTCGATCCAGAAGGAGAAGTTACTCAAGGTCAAGGTAACGGTAATGGGTCAAAGGTCGCTATCAATTCCTATTTTTAGGTGTTGGTGATTGTTAATTTGGTTGGAGTTGATTTTTAGGGGTGATTTTTTTATTGCGAACTATTATCATTATTTTCTACTCTAAAAGTACAAACATTGTTTATTTACGGTGGCGGACAAAGGGAGGTTACTTGGTGGGGGGGTGGGGCTGGTGGAAGGTATCTGCCCTCACCTAAGCCCCCCACATGTATGTGTCACTGTTTTTTTTATCAAATTTATATTATTTCCCATTCTCATTGAGTCAATTGGCGTGGTTTCGAATCCCCGGTTGTACGTGACAAGGAGTATGGTCACCTGTCCAACCTCGTGGGTTTTCTCCAGGTCCTCCGGTTTCCTCCCACTGCTAAAGACCCCTACGGACAAGCGAATTATTGAAATAAAAAATTAAACCATACATGTATGTTAGTCTCGAAATGACCTAGTTTGTGTTGAGTGGACGTTAAACCCCATTTCTCTCTTCTCTCTTCTCTCTCTCTATCCCATTCCATTGTGTCATTTGATTTGTAGGGCAGTTGGGTGTCATGGTTTCAATCCCACACTTGTACGTGACAAGGAGTAGGGTCACCTCTCGAACCACATCGATTTTCTCAGGGTCTTCTGGTTCTCTTCAAGACTCTTACGCACAAACGAATTATTGAAATAAAATTGAACTGTATTTTATTACCAAAATAACCTAGTTTGTGTTGTGTAGACATTAAACTACATTTCTCTCTCTCTTTCTCTCTTTGATTTGTACTTTTAGAGTAGCTCTTAACTTATTTGTAATCCATGACCACGTGTTTTCAATTAATTATTATTTATTTTTTAAACTGTTATTTTGACCGTTCTAACTATTTACAACCATTTATTGGATTTCTACCAAATTTGGTAGTTATGTTGTTTGCTTGGTGCTTTTTTTTAGTTTTGTTCAGTTGGGTAAGATTTGGTGGGGCTTCTTAATAGGGTGAAATATCCGATTTATTTTGGTTTAAAAACATTTGTTCTGTAGGATGAAATATCCGATTTATTTTGGTTTAAAAACCGACGTGAACAGTTTTAATGGTAACAGACAGAATTGGTCTCTTTAGAAGATACATCTGAAATCAGACAAATTTTATAGTATTTGTTAATCAATATATTCAAGGGCAAATTTTTCCTCAAAGCACACTGCATGGTGTCAATGTGTATCCATCTTCAGGTCTTTATTAGCCCATCTTTTTCATCTGTTTTTATTATATCTTTCAGGTCAAGGTCAGTTGAAAGGTCAGATAAAAGAAGAAGAAGAAGAAGCTCGTCCTATTCCCAGTCACGCTCCAGATCCAGATCTCCCAAAAGCAGAAGGCGATCTTCCGGATCCGGTTCCCATTCCAGGAGGTCAAGGTTTGAGCACAGGGGTTAAAGAGCAACTAGTCTCTTTTCTTTTAAACAGATCTTGGATAAAGACAAGTGGGGAGAGGATGGTGTAGTGTATATGGTTTAGACCATAAGTTCTGTTGGGGGGGTGGGAAGGGGCTGAATGGTTGAGTCAAGTGACATGGTTTCGATTCCCACCTTGTACCTAACAAGGATTAGGGTCATCTGTCCAAACTGATGGATTTTCCCCGGGTCCACTGGTTTCCTCCCACTGCTAAAAACCCCTATGTACCATAACCACATATTAGTCCCAGAATGACACAGTTTGTGTTGAGTGGACTTAACCCCATCTCTCTCTCTCTCTCTCTCTCTAGCTCTCTCTCTCTCCCCCTCCCCTGTATGTTTCTCAATCAGATATTTAACTTTTTGAAAAGAAGCAAGGTAGGTAATTATCCCCTCCAAATATATATACCTCGTATTGGAGATAAAGTTTTAAAACTGATGTTATAGGCTAACCTAATCTTGTTTTTAAACCCAGTACTGACTCCATACACTTGGTAACCTTGTTCTTAGGCCTAAGGTTAACATGAACTTTGACATGCTTGTTCAAGATTTTTAATATGAAATCTAAATTCCAAGATGGTTCGTTCTTTTGCAGCTTTTTAGGTCATTGTTCGGACTGTACAGTAGATCTCTTTCTCTTTCTTATTATATTGTTTGAACGAAACAGATTTTAATGAATTAGGGGGCGGGGGGTCATATAAAAGTAAATTACTTCAATATTTTTAATTATTCTATTCCTTTTCTTTCGTTTCAGATCGTGAATGGAGTCATGGAATGAATATCAACCACTTGTTAATAAAACAAATTCAAATACAATTTTAAGATTTAAAATATAATCAACTTTTTTTAAAAGATTAAATAAAAGCTAGCATAAAATAAATTGAGGTCTGGAAAGGTTTAACTAATATTAATTATCAGTTTATTGCTATTTAACAGTCTAAAAAAAGCGTTTCGTGGGTTAATATTATTCAGTATAAAACTTTATTAGCGTTGCAAGTTATTATGAAGTGACCGGTATCGCACACATATTTCTGTTGTTCAAAACACCTGTTTCGATTTTACCATGTGATCATCAGTTAATTTGGCATATTCTCTTGGTATTATTCAGTTTTAAACTTCAATCGTGGGTTATTTGGTTAATATAATACAATACAATATAAAATCTGAGTTATTAATTGTGCATATTCTGTTAAAACGGTATTTGACCAATTAAAGACTATAGGAAGAATTAGACATGGATCTACCATTGAACCTTGAATATCATTAAAATATATAAATAGTTTGCGTAAATAACGGCTATAAAACGTTTCTATCGATATCTGAGAACATTTTGTGACATCCCGGTTTTTATCTTAGGAAGCAGCTGACTATTAAAGTTTGTTAATGTCACTTTGAGGGTTTTTGAATACCTTGAATAACTACAATGTAGTCCGAGTTGAATCTCTGAAAGCAATATCAGTCCAAAAATGATTCAGTTCCGTTAAGTATTTACAAAGATACAATCTGATTAAAACACAGATCTTATTTCGTTTCATTTTTTATAGTTCAAAATTTCGTTTTACTTGGGGGGGGGGGGGGGGGGGATTGCCGAATGGTTAGCACGTGTGCTCTGTATCATAAGGCCTGTCATTGAGTCAACTGCTGTGGTTTCGAATCCCTGGTTGTACGTGACAAGGAGTAGGGTTGCCTGTCCAACCGCGTGGGTTTTCTCGGGGTCCTCCGGTTTCCTCCCTCTGCTAAAGACCCCTACATGCAAGCGAATTATTGAAATAAAATTAAACCGTTTGCTAGTCCTGAAATGACCTAGTTTGTGTCGAGTGGGCGTTAAACCCCATTTCTCTCTTTCGTTTTACTTGTCTTTACTGCATTAGGGTTGTTGTTGTTTATTACAGATTTAACGTCTAATACATTAAATATGATATTATGAACAGGAAGGATCTGGTAGAGTTGTTATATAACCTGCGTTCTGGTTGATGTTTTTGGCGTACAGTGCACAGAACTCTGGGTATCCCTCTAGAAACATCAACGCTGATTGGTTAATCAAATGTCTGACGTCATAGGTACAAAAGCCACTTGTACGACCGCAGATGCGACCTTCCACTATAACCAGTCAGATCTTCATTTCGTGGAGACCATCGAAAGTATAAAAAAACAAAACGAAATATACATCTGTATTTTAATCAGATTGACTCAAAATATGATGAAATTCAAATTTTGTTACATTTGGTATTTTCTGCAAAAGCCAATGATACGTCACTTTTGACGGATCTTTATTTAATCCGATAGAATACAAGCCAGGAGATTATCTACCTTTGATAAATTGATTTATTTTTCTTAATTAAATTTTAAATACTGGTAATCAATTATGCACATTTTTTGTGTTGATTAAAGCGTGAAAAATTAGATATTGTTCACAAAAGCGTGATCGGGATCGCTGACTATAAAGAATTTAACTGCTGATTGGTGAACGAGACAGTGGATTAATAGAACACAAGTCCATATGCCCCCCTTTTACGATTATTTGTTTTTTGTTAATGTCGTTTTTAAACATATTTGTTACATAGGAATGAAATACAAAGCTTTCTTGCCAGTAAAATTAGACAAAATTTGGAAGAGTTATTCCCCTTGACACTCTTTCAAACCCGACATTGTTCCCTGTTGAGGATAGTTATGTGGCTTTGTCAGTGTAGGTATATATAGAGTAGAATTTGCTTGTAGTTAGAATTTAGGGAAAGATATTAATAACAAAACATTGACTTCAGACATATTGTCACGGACCCAAAATTGTTGATCAGGGTTATTCCCCTTAAAACATATTTTGGGGGATACTAGATTGAATGTTCCGGAATTCTCTCAATCTCAAAAATAATGACAATTAAGTGAAAAGGAGGGTTTCGGGCAATAAAACATGTGCCGACTGCATAATAAAATATCTCAACCAACCATGACAGCTGAAATTAAGTCATGATTCTACTTACACCACCTCCGTGTCAGGACGTTTCGAACTGACTTCCTTGTCACTCGTTTGCAATTTGGAATGTTCCAGACTGACAATCGCGCATCCCCTTTGTTAGTGTGTTTATTTTGGAATAGAATTTGCTTGAAATATGGAAAGATAATAACAACAATACTTATTTCATACATATTGGCATAGTAGAAAATTATTGTGAAGAATTCTTCCCCTTCAGTTAAAACCCTTTAACAAGATATTGGTAATTACTTATCATATGTGGGTTGTGGCCGGATGGTTTAATGCGAGAGTGTTAGATCATAAGGTCTGTCATTGAGTCAAGTGGCGTGGTTTCGACTCACCACTTGTGGCCTGTCGTAACTCGTGGGTTTTTCTCTGGGTTCTTCTGGTTTCTTCCCACTGCTAAAGATCCTAACGTGCAAGTAAATTATTGAAATAAAAATTGAACCATATGTTAGTCCCGAAATCACAAGTGAGGCTGAGCCTTGATTAACAAGTAATGTTGCTATGATAATAATAAACAATCTATGTCAAAACTTCAAACCTTGATAATAATAATAATAATAATACTATAATGAATTTATAAAGCGCCTGCATTCCATTACAAATTACTGCTCCGCGGTGCTATTACATTTTGTAAAAATGGTAAATGCAGAATAAATAAAAATGAATTATACATATAATCACAGAAAATTTAAGAAATATGAAGTTATTAAAATGACAGCGCAAGCATTATATAAATCTTAGCTAAAAAGTTCAGTTTTTAAAAGTCATCACAATCGCTATATTATAAAACTTTGTTAACAAGTTCAATTTTTAAAAGTCATCACATACACTCCATAAAACTTTGCCTAAAAGTTGAATTTTTAAAAGTCATCACGATCACTACATGAAATTTTGGTTAACGTCGCTCAGAATAAAGTAATTTGAATGAAATTTGGAATTGTCTATTTTGGAACTATTATAACAAGAACGGCCAGCTCTTTATCTAAATCTTACATAATGTATCTTTAATAAGATTTTGTTTATGTTTTGTTGATAGTATTGTTATGTGCCCCTGTTCTCATCCCTATTTCGCCTGAATACTTTTGTACGAACTATGTTGTTTTCCATATTTCCATATATAGATGCCTACAACTCATTCCGGTGATCATGTCATAGCAACGCACAAAATTAAATGAACTTAAAAAATTGTCCAGGTTTTGAATAAAACTACAGGATCATTAAAATGTAAGAAAAATCTTCTAAGTTAAAAACATGACATTAAAATTATTATTAATATTGCTGATAATTCATCAAATTCTAAATGGATTTCGGCACAGTACTAATGTGTGACAAATATTTAAAAGACAACCATAAGTTCAACCCCTTTCACCTTTAATAATAAATGAAGATACAAGCTGTGATGTTATTTGGGTAACTGCCCATCACTGTTTAGTGCTTATACTGTATTACAAAAAAAAAAAAAAAATCAGGCACGAAATAAAAGTTGTCAATGGGAAAAAGAGTTTGGCAATTTTTAGAGCAAAATACTCTCAAAACTGCTTCACTCTATAGTTGTACGGATAGGATAAAAATATATTGCCGAGTATGTAAAAGAACCCTTGACAATTGGATTTTGATAAAGAGTATGTGGAAACGGAGCTATCTGAGCAATATACTCTGTCAGCTTTCTTTCATACTACCGGTATACAAGTAACTCTTAGATGAATACACCGAAGAAAGTCATTAGATTGAAAACTAAAAGTATGTGTGTTGCGTTATTTCAATTGATGACAGTTACCATTAAAACATCAGCCAGCATCTTAATTTATTAATAAAATATGAAAAGACAAGTATTTAGGGTTGAGCAGGGTTGAAACTGTTTCAATAAAATAATGATTTAAATAACTAATCAAATATATTGATTAAGTTCATATAATAATGAAATTATAGAAATGAGATTGCGTAGTTGTAGATAGAATATTGTTTAATGTAAATATGCAACTAGAATAAACAAATTACAAACAGTATTGTTTGTTGTCTTTTTAAGATGTATTCCATCAAGGTTAAAGTCTCTGATCTTCCTATAAGAGTTTGAGGATTCCCTTTGAAACTACAATATTTGATATTTAAAAATCCACGCACAACATCAGTACAAAAACAGATGAGGCTAAATGAGTGGGTAGTTTGTTTCAGCTTCATAACGATTCAGGTTGATAATGAGTGTTTTAACCCGAAACATTATGAAGATGAATAAACCACCACTCATATAACCTCAAGTCTGTTTTTGTACAGCTGTTGTGTGGGGATTTTTAAATATCTATTACTCTCTGCTCCCTTCGCCGGCATCATCATTTGATCCAGCAGCTACACAGATCTATGACCTGTCCGGCCACTGTTAGTCTTTAAGGGAGTGTTGCCATCCCCAAAGTACAATATCAGTCTAAAAGTGGTTCTGTTGTATTCAGTATTTAAAAAGATATGATGAATTTAGACATTCAGCATCCTCTACTGAATATGTAAACAGGATATGGTCAAAAGTCAGCACCACCTGTAATCTTGTATAAACTCTAACAATGGACCTTGTTTTTATCCCATTTAACCCAAGCACGGAGATATTTTGATTTTATTTTCTTCATTAAACAAAAATGGGAGCTGCAGTGCCTCAGCAAGTAAGGTTCCCAGTTTTGGCCAATAACACCTTTTAGTTGTTGGCACTAAAATTTCCTGTGAACACATAAATGTAAAAGAACCCTTTTTCTACAGATGCACTACATTCGTCAATCATGAGATCAGGGGAAGCTATTGGGTGGCAGATGTATTTTCAAATAAAAACACATCATTGGTTAACATATAAATTAATAGTAATGAATAGAATATATTTCAATTATTTAATAAATTACAACACAATATCTTGACATGTACAAGTTTAATTGAATCACATATTCCTATCAACCTGAACTTATAACAGTGGTCTGACAAAAGATAAGCAAAAAGATGGATGCTAAAATAGGTTATCTCCCTTGACACTAATTTTTCCAGATTACGCTTTTGAAAGTTCATGTTTGGTTTTATATAGCAAACAAAATGGGGGTACTTGATTGAATGTCCTGGAATTGAATTCTCTCAATCCCAAAAATAGTGACAATCGAGTGGGAGATTTCAGGCTACAATGCATGCTTTGATTGAATAAGATGATATCTCGCCCAACGATGCAGACGAAACATATTCGTTGTGTTTAATTACGTCCCGATTCTACTGACACCACCTTCGTTGTCGGGACTGACAGAACTGTGACAGGACTGAATTCTCTGTCCCTCGACTGCAATCCCCAATAAGTTGTCGGAGCAACAAAGGGGCACAACTATGATGACAGACAACAGATAGGATTTTCAAAAAGTTATATTGATTATTGTAGCGTTGACATGACAGATGTATATAGAAGTCTCTTATTGTCGTTCAAGAGAATTTGAATCCCTTGCAAAGCAAACTACAATATTGTGAAAGTTGAATCTCTAAAAGAAATATTAGTACAAAAATGGTCTAATTTTGACTTGAAGGAATATTTGTCTACATAAATGGAATATAGTCAACTCAAACCATGACAATATTCATAGTTTAGAGTCATTTTCAAACCCCATTTTACAATGTTGGGTTTATTCTATGCTTATTTTATATCTCCGTCAGCGTAACAATTTTATCAAAACAAAAGTGCCATCATCCTTGTCCATCTGTACAAAATTAAGGTTTTGCCAACTAGAAGCCCTGTATATTCACCAGGCATCCATAGCTGTTAATAAAGACACTGATTTAGTTTTAACCTCCTCCTTCTGTCCATACATCTTTATCATTGCATCATCATCATTTTTAGCATTAGTTTCACGCCCGATTGTCCCGCTTTCTGAATCTCGATACTTTGAGTTTTGCATCAGTGGGTTAAAATTATAACTACAGCTATCCTCCTTATCATTTATAGTTTCATGCCCAATTGTCGCATTTTCTGGATCTCGAAACGTTGAATTTTTTACGCGAGGGACGTATTTACAGCTCCTACTATCCTTGTTATTGTTCATATTTTCACTTCTGCTGGTCTTGTTATCTCTATTTGAATCTCTGACAGCTGAATGGCTTTCCTGATAAGGGAGATAATTCATATTTTTATGACTGTTTTTTTCATTATTGCAATTCCTAATCAAAGTGAGTATCTTTCCTTGTCTTCTGTGAACTTGATTATTATTTATCTCCGACTCTGTCCTTTCTTTACTAAATTTATCTGAAGTAGCAAAGTATTTTTTATCAAAACATGTAAATAATATATAAATAGGGAGTTGCAGTGGCTCTGTGAGTAAGACGCTGGCTCGCTAACCAGGAGGTCCTGTGTTTGATCTCGGTGTTATTTCATCAGGATTTTCTGCATGGTTCCCTCCCCCTTATAAGTAGTGTAGCACAGAGGGCCTGGCCAGTTTAGCATATCGTCGGTGGGGAGTCAAAAGGTTGTATCTGGATTTTGCGAAATTGTCCAGGAGAGCCAAAAAACACACAGAGGTTAAGAATCAAAATGTCCAATAAAACTGTCATGTCAAAATGTCATATTTCTGAAGCTTTTCTTAAATATTTCTGTATGTGTATGTGTAGCCATTAAAATAATATGTATTCGCATGTATCAAGCTCAACATTTAGTGCAGAAATAAAGAGTGAAAGCTAGTTATTTGCTATTTTATACAGCAAAGACGTATCTCAGGAAAATATTCACCTTTACCTTCAACAATAATTTCTATAATACATATTTAACTATAAAACAATACTGCCTACATTTCGTTTGATTGTAAAACTTTGGTTAGACACAAAGTTGATTTTTTTATAAAAAAAATATGACATTTTCACTCTTAATATTTTTTTTTTTGGTTTTTGGAACACCCCATATAACGACATTTTGAAACAATGTCTATAAAACCTCTTTTTATTGGCTTAGAAATATGACAACTAGATCAAAAGATGCGCAAGAAAATCCTCATTCTGAAGTAGCAAAGAAGTGAATTTTGCAAAATATGCCAGATACGACCTTTTGACTCCCCACCGATGAAATGCCCATCTTCATTAGCCAAGTCGGAGCAGAACATTTCATTTCGTATATAAATGAAAATGATCATAACAAAAACACTTCAGCTTAACATCACTAGGTTTCGTGAATTTGGAAGCATGCAGGTAAGCTATGATATTCATTGTTTTGATAATCTATTTGGGAGTTGGAGGGTTGGAACTTCCCTCAATTGAAGATTTTGGGTTAGATATGACAAAGGTTGGAAATATACTCAATTTGATGTCTAACTCAGATTGAGTGAATTACCCAAACCCTTGTGATGTTTAAAAGCATTAAAGCAGCTCGAGGGAATTCGCAAACCCTAACCCCTGCACATGATGTCTAATGTCTAATACCCCCCTCCCCTTGCACATGATGTCTAATACCCCCCCCCCCTTGCATATGATGTCTAATACTCCCCCCCCCCCCTTTGCACATGATATCTAACGCAGTTTCCGGGAATTTCCCATCACAAACCCCTGTGGTGTCTAACACAGCCTGAGGGAATTTCCCAACTCTAACCCTTGTTATGTCTGACGTAGCTTCAGGTAATTTCAGAACCCTAACACTGAATGCCCAATAGATAAATTTTCCATATGGGGATGACCTCCCCAACCGGCTGGAAAATAGACATTACAAACATTGTTGAATCAATTTTTCATCATAGGTAGTTACTATGACTATATCTATAACGATGTCCTTATGCCAGCCTGTCCAGGGGGGTTGGATGGCCGAATGGTTAGTATGTGCACGCTGTATCATAAGACCTGTCATTGAGTCAACTGGCATGTTTCGAATCCCCAGTTGTACGTGACAAGGAGTCAAGGAGTAGGGTCGCCTGTCCAACCTCATGGGTTTTCTCCGGGTCCTCCGGTTTCTTCCCACTGCTAAAGACACCTACGCACAAGTGAATTATTGAAATAAAATTAAACCATATGTTAGTCCCAATATGACCTAGTTTGTGTCGAGTGGAGTTAAAGCCTCTCTCTCTCCCTCTCGTCTGTTCAGACTAGGGGCATTTGACCCATACATATGAAGATGTTATTAAGACAGACATAGTGTTATCTATTACGTACTAATATAAATAAATATGATTATCATATACTTACAAAAATTTCTCTTGTATTTTCCCGAAGGTTCTGGTGGAATCAATGCTGTAAGTTTCCAGCTTTCTATCACATCTCTTGCCCATCCTTCAGTTTTAACATTAAATTTACTATCAATATCACAATCTGTTGTCAGGACAACCATCCCTGGTATTATGTCTTCCATATTTCCCTTTATAGAAAAATAACAATTAAAATTGGGATATGGACCAAACATCAGAATCTGGGCTCAGACAGTAGGAAATTAGGACTCAAATTGTCCAAAACATACAGACAAGTAGGAAAAATGTTAATACTCCACACTTAATAAGTCTGTCCATATTAGGATTGGAATCCAGGACATTGTAGTGGCGAGTCCTGTGCTATGAGGGACATTTTGTCCAGACAGCAGCACTACAGCATATTCTTATATTGAATTCCAACCGCCAAGGGATCTTTTACGTGCATGTGTACACGGGACCTTGGTTTTTCATCCCATCCGAATGACTGTATGTTGTTCCTTGCCAGGCCCTCTATCCTGTACCACCAACAAGGTGAAACCATGCCGTAAAATCCTGATTACCATTCTTGACCAACACTGAGACCTCCTGGTTAGCGAGCCAATGGAATTTAATCTTTCCCATATATCTCCAATTGGAAAAATTTAATATTTCTATTCAATGAAATCAACTAATATTCCAAAACAAACAGATAAGAACACAATCTAATTAAAATATAGATCTATATTTCGTTTCTTTTTTTATACTTTCGATGGCCTACACTACATGTAGATCTAACAAGTTATAGTGGGAGTTCACGTTCTATGGCGTCAGGTACCAAGCAAGCAACATTTGACCCGATTACGTCAGTCATTCGATTAACCAATTAGCGACCGCCATGTATTTTTTATCTACTTTTGCTTTGTTTTGATTTCTATTGCCGCTAATGTCTACCCACAGTTCCGTGCAAAAAAAGGTCAAACGCTCGATTCGACAGACCATTTGATTGGCTGACCCCTCATTTCAAGCAGAACACGAGTTAAATAACAACGCTTCCAGACCCAAGTGTAGTAAAGACTAGTAAATTCGAAATTTTGAACTATAAAAACAAAACGAAATTGGATCTGTGTTTTAATCAGATTGATAAGAACATTGAAAAATTCACAATTTCTAGAAATTTGAAAACACATCAAAAATCCAAAAACTGATCATAGGCATCACACTAAAAACTATTTATGGAATATCAATTACTGGTTTATTAACATACATGTCCACGATGGTATTCTCATCTTTATTAAGTGCTATTTGATAACCAGTTCCTAGTGTGTCACTGTTCAATTACCAAGTGCCACACAAAAAAGTGATCATATGTATGTAATTGAATAGTAAAGGGACAAGTTATAGTGTAGTCAATTAAAATATACCTGTATATTTTAATCAAATAAATCAGTAAATAATAAAAACATAACATGAGTTAATCTCACCTGAGTTGAAATATAGGATGATAAGATTAAAATCTGTAAATTCTGGAAACATTTTAAATATTTCACACCTTTAGATGATATTTCAGGATTTTCTGTAAAAAATGATCGAAAAAATAAATTTTAAGTATTTGAACAGCAGCACCCCTTCCTATGGACAAGACATAATATACATACACCAAAAAACAACACACTCACATATCAGATCACGTGAATAAATCCGGGAGCCAGCCACTGTGCTGAAGGCCTGTAGTGATACAGACTTGAAAAACAAAATAACAATAAGGGAAGCAACTCAACACAAAAGGGAATATTTCTCGAACATTTTCTCCTACTAGTGTGAGTCACGATCAACTATGTGCTACAAGAAATCTCAATGCAGCCACATCGAAGGAAAAGTCACGATCAACTATGTGCTACAAGAAATCTCAATGTAGCCACATCGAAGGAAAAAGCTTTTAAATATAACCATTTTCGTGGAATGTAGCAAAAAGCCAACTAAAATTTATTTAAGTCAGAAATAAGGAAAATAATTTACCAGTTAAATCTAGGTTGTGTAAATCTAATGGTCCTTGATGTAACATTCGTAAGGGTGATGTTAATTTTCGTAATCCATCATTACTCAAACAGTTGTTTCTTAAACATAATGTCCTCAACCTAAAATATAAACCATCATTACTCAAACATAATGTTCTCAACCTAAAATATAAACCATCATTACTCAAACATAATGTTCTCAACCTAAAATATAAACCATCATTACTCAAACAGTTGTTTCTAAAACATAATGTTGGACTCACATGGCAGGCTTTTTTTTTATTTAGGATGCCCGTATTTAATAACCCAGTTGATGCATAAAACTAGGATGTTAAACCCTTGGAATTTTTGCTTATTAAGACTATTTATTTCAAGGAGTAGATTGCACAAAGTATACATCGATACACATAGGTGGATAGGACTATTTAATTTGGTGTGGTGTGGAGGTGGCACATGCTTATCACCGAAACTAACCTTACCATTTCAGATGTGAAATGTGATGTAAAACATCGTGATCATCTCCTAATCCATTTGACGACACATCAAGTTCTTCTAAATGTTCAAACAACGATAAATGTTCAAAATAATTATTCAGACAAAGATGACTGCCAGGTAGACTCAAACTTATCAGCATCAAATTCTCATAAGCTTCACAAAATAGTTTTAATTTCAGTAAACATTCCTTGTCCCTGCCTTTAAATTCCCTGAGCTTCAACGCTTCGTTGAAGATTTCTACTCCTACGACATCAGGGAAATATAACAATGATTCAACCAGGTGTAAATTAGCAGCAACATAACAGATACAGAGCGTACTCAGTTTTCTTGGAGAACGTTTATCAATTGATGATGTTTCCGATGTATGGGATTCCACGGTGTCGATTACATCCGACTTTAATTTCTTTACTTCATGGTTCATTCTTTGAGCTATATTTGCGTTGCACATTTATTTAACCAACAATCTGAAAAGAAAGACAAAGACAGCTATATATGTCCATGCTCAAACCAATCTAATTAAATCACACATCCTATTTCATTTCGTTTTTTATATTTCAAAATTTTGTTTTACTTGTCTTCACAACACTAGGATCTGGAAGAGTTGTTATATAACAGGCGTACTAGTTGATGTGAGGAATTAGCCAATAGAACGGTCTGTTCTTGGCGTGCTCTGCACAGAACTGTGGGTAAACCCTTAGCTAGAAATGTCAACGCTGATTAATCAATAGCCGCTGGTATGAACCATAACACGACCTTCCAGTACAACTGGTCAGATTTTCATGTGAGAGAGAGAGAGAGAAATGGGGTTTAACGTCCACTCGACACAAACTAGGTCATTTCGGGACTAACATATGGTTTTAATTTTTATTTACATAATTCGCTTGCGCGTAGGGGTCTTTAGCAGTGGGAGGAAACCGGAGGCCCCGGAGAAAACCCACGAGGTTGGACAGGCGACCCTACTCCTTGCCACGTACAACCGGGGATTCAGATTTTCATGTAGTGTAGGCCATCGAAATTATAAAAAAAACGAATGAAATATGGATCTGTATTTTATTGAGATTGTGTTCAAACCATGTTTTCAGAAATGTGACAGAATCCAATTCTGTGTTAGCTGTCAACAAAACCTCCTGGACTGCACTAGCTCCATGGTAAATCTTATACAAGTTTGAAGCGACATATTGTCAGATGAAAATTTTGGGAAAAGTTACAGCCGAGCAAAAAGACAAGAATTGACACTAAACGTCAATGTGAGAATATTTGGTGGTCTGCCTCTAGTAGTTCAAGCATGGATTAAATGGATTTATTTCCCTTACCACACTGTTAGCGTTAACCATAAAAATGCAAATCCTGATAAAAGCATAAGCCTTTATTAGTGAAATGGGTGTTTCAAGAGTATCAAAACAAACGTGAGAAGTACGTCTATGTATTCACGAATCAAAAACTAATTCCATCCATTGGACTACATTGCTCTTAAGCACGCACGAACTAATCTTCGAAAATATAAACAAATCATTTCGCGCAAAATATTGACACTCGTCTAGCGATTGGATAAAATTCAATGCAGGAAACGGAAGCTTAAGATCATGGCCATGCGTACTAAATGACATATTTGTAGCAGACAACTTGACAACACATTCAACAAGAAAATTGAAGATTTCAAGTTAAATTTAACTGTATTTTCACTGCTAATCAATTATGTTTGATCTAGCATTATCAGAGGCTGGCGCCCAAATTATTTTGGCAACTTCAAGTGATGATAAATATCCGCCAGAGAACATGATTGACGGGTATTTCAAGAATTTTTTGGTTGTTTTATTTCGTGATGATACTATTATAGTACTATTTTTGATATGATATTGATAAGATATTTTTTTTTTTTTATTGGGGGGATGGGTGGGCATTAATCCGTGTAAGTAATTTTGAAGACATCATAGATTGGTAAAAAAAAATGTTTAGAAACTGGGAATTGACAGTATAATTACGTCAGGGTTTCATATTAATTTGTGGGCTGTCAAGCTATCGCTAACTAAGATTAATAAGAACTATTAAGATTAAATTAAGATACATTTTAATTACCATACTAACTAACTAGACACTTTACAAAATGATTTGTTCAAATGACCGACAGCGATCCTCGCAAAGCCCGAATTTGTGCCTGAAAATAGCACATGATATCTAACGCAGTTTCCGGGAATTTCCCATCACAAACCCCTGTGGTGTCTAACACAGCCTGAGGGAATTTCCCAACTCTAACCCTTGTTATGTCTGACGTAGCTTCAGGTAATTTCAGAACCCTAACACTGAATGCCCAATAGATAAATTTTCCATATGGGGATGACCTCCCCAACCGGCTGGAAAATAGACATTACAAACATTGTTGAATCAATTTTTCATCATAGGTAGTTACTATGACTATATCTATAACGATGTCCTTATGCCAGCCTGTCCAGGGGGGTTGGATGGCCGAATGGTTAGTATGTGCACGCTGTATCATAAGACCTGTCATTGAGTCAACTGGCATGTTTCGAATCCCCAGTTGTACGTGACAAGGAGTCAAGGAGTAGGGTCGCCTGTCCAACCTCATGGGTTTTCTCCGGGTCCTCCGGTTTCTTCCCACTGCTAAAGACACCTACGCACAAGTGAATTATTGAAATAAAATTAAACCATATGTTAGTCCCAATATGACCTAGTTTGTGTCGAGTGGAGTTAAAGCCTCTCTCTCTCCCTCTCGTCTGTTCAGACTAGGGGCATTTGACCCATACATATGAAGATGTTATTAAGACAGACATAGTGTTATCTATTACGTACTAATATAAATAAATATGATTATCATATACTTACAAAAATTTCTCTTGTATTTTCCCGAAGGTTCTGGTGGAATCAATGCTGTAAGTTTCCAGCTTTCTATCACATCTCTTGCCCATCCTTCAGTTTTAACATTAAATTTACTATCAATATCACAATCTGTTGTCAGGACAACCATCCCTGGTATTATGTCTTCCATATTTCCCTTTATAGAAAAATAACAATTAAAATTGGGATATGGACCAAACATCAGAATCTGGGCTCAGACAGTAGGAAATTAGGACTCAAATTGTCCAAAACATACAGACAAGTAGGAAAAATGTTAATACTCCACACTTAATAAGTCTGTCCATATTAGGATTGGAATCCAGGACATTGTAGTGGCGAGTCCTGTGCTATGAGGGACATTTTGTCCAGACAGCAGCACTACAGCATATTCTTATATTGAATTCCAACCGCCAAGGGATCTTTTACGTGCATGTGTACACGGGACCTTGGTTTTTCATCCCATCCGAATGACTGTATGTTGTTCCTTGCCAGGCCCTCTATCCTGTACCACCAACAAGGTGAAACCATGCCGTAAAATCCTGATTACCATTCTTGACCAACACTGAGACCTCCTGGTTAGCGAGCCAATGGAATTTAATCTTTCCCATATATCTCCAATTGGAAAAATTTAATATTTCTATTCAATGAAATCAACTAATATTCCAAAACAAACAGATAAGAACACAATCTAATTAAAATATAGATCTATATTTCGTTTCTTTTTTTATACTTTCGATGGCCTACACTACATGTAGATCTAACAAGTTATAGTGGGAGTTCACGTTCTATGGCGTCAGGTACCAAGCAAGCAACATTTGACCCGATTACGTCAGTCATTCGATTAACCAATTAGCGACCGCCATGTATTTTTTATCTACTTTTGCTTTGTTTTGATTTCTATTGCCGCTAATGTCTACCCACAGTTCCGTGCAAAAAAAGGTCAAACGCTCGATTCGACAGACCATTTGATTGGCTGACCCCTCATTTCAAGCAGAACACGAGTTAAATAACAACGCTTCCAGACCCAAGTGTAGTAAAGACTAGTAAATTCGAAATTTTGAACTATAAAAACAAAACGAAATTGGATCTGTGTTTTAATCAGATTGATAAGAACATTGAAAAATTCACAATTTCTAGAAATTTGAAAACACATCAAAAATCCAAAAACTGATCATAGGCATCACACTAAAAACTATTTATGGAATATCAATTACTGGTTTATTAACATACATGTCCACGATGGTATTCTCATCTTTATTAAGTGCTATTTGATAACCAGTTCCTAGTGTGTCACTGTTCAATTACCAAGTGCCACACAAAAAAGTGATCATATGTATGTAATTGAATAGTAAAGGGACAAGTTATAGTGTAGTCAATTAAAATATACCTGTATATTTTAATCAAATAAATCAGTAAATAATAAAAACATAACATGAGTTAATCTCACCTGAGTTGAAATATAGGATGATAAGATTAAAATCTGTAAATTCTGGAAACATTTTAAATATTTCACACCTTTAGATGATATTTCAGGATTTTCTGTAAAAAATGATCGAAAAAATAAATTTTAAGTATTTGAACAGCAGCACCCCTTCCTATGGACAAGACATAATATACATACACCAAAAAACAACACACTCACATATCAGATCACGTGAATAAATCCGGGAGCCAGCCACTGTGCTGAAGGCCTGTAGTGATACAGACTTGAAAAACAAAATAACAATAAGGGAAGCAACTCAACACAAAAGGGAATATTTCTCGAACATTTTCTCCTACTAGTGTGAGTCACGATCAACTATGTGCTACAAGAAATCTCAATGCAGCCACATCGAAGGAAAAGTCACGATCAACTATGTGCTACAAGAAATCTCAATGTAGCCACATCGAAGGAAAAAGCTTTTAAATATAACCATTTTCGTGGAATGTAGCAAAAAGCCAACTAAAATTTATTTAAGTCAGAAATAAGGAAAATAATTTACCAGTTAAATCTAGGTTGTGTAAATCTAATGGTCCTTGATGTAACATTCGTAAGGGTGATGTTAATTTTCGTAATCCATCATTACTCAAACAGTTGTTTCTTAAACATAATGTCCTCAACCTAAAATATAAACCATCATTACTCAAACATAATGTTCTCAACCTAAAATATAAACCATCATTACTCAAACATAATGTTCTCAACCTAAAATATAAACCATCATTACTCAAACAGTTGTTTCTAAAACATAATGTTGGACTCACATGGCAGGCTTTTTTTTTATTTAGGATGCCCGTATTTAATAACCCAGTTGATGCATAAAACTAGGATGTTAAACCCTTGGAATTTTTGCTTATTAAGACTATTTATTTCAAGGAGTAGATTGCACAAAGTATACATCGATACACATAGGTGGATAGGACTATTTAATTTGGTGTGGTGTGGAGGTGGCACATGCTTATCACCGAAACTAACCTTACCATTTCAGATGTGAAATGTGATGTAAAACATCGTGATCATCTCCTAATCCATTTGACGACACATCAAGTTCTTCTAAATGTTCAAACAACGATAAATGTTCAAAATAATTATTCAGACAAAGATGACTGCCAGGTAGACTCAAACTTATCAGCATCAAATTCTCATAAGCTTCACAAAATAGTTTTAATTTCAGTAAACATTCCTTGTCCCTGCCTTTAAATTCCCTGAGCTTCAACGCTTCGTTGAAGATTTCTACTCCTACGACATCAGGGAAATATAACAATGATTCAACCAGGTGTAAATTAGCAGCAACATAACAGATACAGAGCGTACTCAGTTTTCTTGGAGAACGTTTATCAATTGATGATGTTTCCGATGTATGGGATTCCACGGTGTCGATTACATCCGACTTTAATTTCTTTACTTCATGGTTCATTCTTTGAGCTATATTTGCGTTGCACATTTATTTAACCAACAATCTGAAAAGAAAGACAAAGACAGCTATATATGTCCATGCTCAAACCAATCTAATTAAATCACACATCCTATTTCATTTCGTTTTTTATATTTCAAAATTTTGTTTTACTTGTCTTCACAACACTAGGATCTGGAAGAGTTGTTATATAACAGGCGTACTAGTTGATGTGAGGAATTAGCCAATAGAACGGTCTGTTCTTGGCGTGCTCTGCACAGAACTGTGGGTAAACCCTTAGCTAGAAATGTCAACGCTGATTAATCAATAGCCGCTGGTATGAACCATAACACGACCTTCCAGTACAACTGGTCAGATTTTCATGTGAGAGAGAGAGAGAGAAATGGGGTTTAACGTCCACTCGACACAAACTAGGTCATTTCGGGACTAACATATGGTTTTAATTTTTATTTACATAATTCGCTTGCGCGTAGGGGTCTTTAGCAGTGGGAGGAAACCGGAGGCCCCGGAGAAAACCCACGAGGTTGGACAGGCGACCCTACTCCTTGCCACGTACAACCGGGGATTCAGATTTTCATGTAGTGTAGGCCATCGAAATTATAAAAAAAACGAATGAAATATGGATCTGTATTTTATTGAGATTGTGTTCAAACCATGTTTTCAGAAATGTGACAGAATCCAATTCTGTGTTAGCTGTCAACAAAACCTCCTGGACTGCACTAGCTCCATGGTAAATCTTATACAAGTTTGAAGCGACATATTGTCAGATGAAAATTTTGGGAAAAGTTACAGCCGAGCAAAAAGACAAGAATTGACACTAAACGTCAATGTGAGAATATTTGGTGGTCTGCCTCTAGTAGTTCAAGCATGGATTAAATGGATTTATTTCCCTTACCACACTGTTAGCGTTAACCATAAAAATGCAAATCCTGATAAAAGCATAAGCCTTTATTAGTGAAATGGGTGTTTCAAGAGTATCAAAACAAACGTGAGAAGTACGTCTATGTATTCACGAATCAAAAACTAATTCCATCCATTGGACTACATTGCTCTTAAGCACGCACGAACTAATCTTCGAAAATATAAACAAATCATTTCGCGCAAAATATTGACACTCGTCTAGCGATTGGATAAAATTCAATGCAGGAAACGGAAGCTTAAGATCATGGCCATGCGTACTAAATGACATATTTGTAGCAGACAACTTGACAACACATTCAACAAGAAAATTGAAGATTTCAAGTTAAATTTAACTGTATTTTCACTGCTAATCAATTATGTTTGATCTAGCATTATCAGAGGCTGGCGCCCAAATTATTTTGGCAACTTCAAGTGATGATAAATATCCGCCAGAGAACATGATTGACGGGTATTTCAAGAATTTTTTGGTTGTTTTATTTCGTGATGATACTATTATAGTACTATTTTTGATATGATATTGATAAGATATTTTTTTTTTTTTATTGGGGGGATGGGTGGGCATTAATCCGTGTAAGTAATTTTGAAGACATCATAGATTGGTAAAAAAAAATGTTTAGAAACTGGGAATTGACAGTATAATTACGTCAGGGTTTCATATTAATTTGTGGGCTGTCAAGCTATCGCTAACTAAGATTAATAAGAACTATTAAGATTAAATTAAGATACATTTTAATTACCATACTAACTAACTAGACACTTTACAAAATGATTTGTTCAAATGACCGACAGCGATCCTCGCAAAGCCCGAATTTGTGCCTGAAAATATCAGGCTTGCTGAATGAATGATAATTGTTTTAATTTATTGTGTTTGTTCATTGGCAATTTCACCATTCCTACTGCATGAATCACATACACTTAGATCTAATGAGGTGCATTAAGGGCTAAATAAATCTGCCTATTACAGGTCTTTATATTTTGGCTTCAAATGTTAAGCTATCATTTAGACATTTATTAACATGATTATGGGCTAATGTACTCTCCAGACCAGTGGATGGTAGAAATTTAAAATAATTAATGCCTGCGATATTTAAGAATTTAATGTTAAAAAGGTTATCGAGACTCATTTGTCCAGTCCCGTTGCTACGATAATAAACTATTTATAGCTAGCTACATCTTCCAGCACTCATATCTTTACTCAGAATAAAGTAACATGAATGAAAGATTATTATGCATATCAGTCTTATTTTTGTCAAATTTTGTCAATTTTGTTGTTGGATTGTATTTTTCAGAAAAGATGACACATTTTGGACAACATGTGGTCTGTATCCTCAAGAATTTATCATCAAATTTACATCTTTAGTTAGCATCAATACAATACAAATTGCATGTTATAATGGTAATTATTATAATAAATATAAGATTATCATTTTTATACGCTCACATGCAAATGTGGTTATACATGTATATTGCTGTCAGTCGGTCCGTCCGTCCGTTCATTGTCCACACTTTTTTGTGAGCACTCTACAGACTACATTTATCATTTGATTGTTTTGAAATTAGTTTACATTACTTAGGTGAAGAAGCCTATTTAATTTCAATAATTTCCGTTAATTTCTTCTTGAGTTATGGCCTTTGTTTCACTTTATTTTATTGCTCCCTGGGAACACTAACAACAAAAATTATCATCTGATCTGTATGAAATTTATATGCATCCTTTAAATTAGTGAAACGAAGAATCCTATTGAATTTCAGCAATTTCCTTTAATAATGTCTAGATCGTGTTATGGCCCTAGTTTCACTTTGTTGAACCATGTGAACGTTCGAACAACAAACTTATCATCTGATCTGTATGAAATTTATATGCATCATTTAAATTAGTGAAACAAAGACGCCTATTGAATTTCAGCAATTTCCGTTAATCAGTTCAAGAGTTATAAATTTGGTTTTAATTTGTTGAACCTTGTGAACGCTCTAACAACAAAAGTTATGAAGTTTGTATGCATTATTTAAATTAATAAGACTAAAGATCCTGTCAAATTTTAACAATTTCTGTAAATTTCTTCCAGAGTTATGGCCCTTGTTTCAGTTTGTAGAACCTTTTCAACTCAAACGACGGAAATTATAATCTGATCTGTATGAAATGGTCTTGTAAATGCCTCCCACTACCTACAAATGAATAAATATGTGACGACCCTTGTCGATCGCTCAGACAATTTAGCTGCTGTGGGTGTATGTTTCATTGCCGTATGTTTTGTACTTATGAAATTTTGTGAATGTGATACAGTACAAAGTTCTTGAGAGAATGTTTTACAAATTTGGTAGTAGGCCTATTGTTCAAGATCATATATGATTTAGCATTCATTCACATGTTGACTGTTAAAGCTTATTATAAAAGAAGAAAGGTTGTATTAGGTTTTTTAATGGATTGTCAATATTCAGAATAATTTGATTTTATATTTTAAACTGATCCACCAGATTCTGAAGAACAAAATTAACTACTTTTAATAACTTTTATTTATTACAAATCATCAATGACTTTGATATGTTTTAATATTGATTTATTTACAGTGAAGAAATTAAAACTGGAAGTAAGCTCTGATGACAATCAGGCATTTAAAACATTAACAGAAAAAGGTGAGAGATGTAAAACTAATTCATTCCCCCCTCTGTAGCAGTACAATTTGGTACACAGGACTTGAAACTCAAAGCTTGTCAGTAGTTTCTTCAGTTTCCATTTTATAGAAAATTTACAAGAGAAGTGATATTTAAAGAAAACTTATGTTATATGGGGACTGGAGTGGTTTTCAGTACCAGTATATATACTGTAGAGGACCAAATGCAGTTTCCGAGTAAAATTATTTCAAATGCAGTGACAATGCTATGTGCCCCCTCCCCCCACTCCGACATATCTGAAGCTAGCCATAACTAAGCTCTGTGTGCCCATTTTCCCCTTGTCTGATTGATGTTAAGATGTAATTATTGTTGTTGATTGTGTTGCTTATCCAAGACTTACTCCAAATTGGATATTTTGTCATGTATTGTTTTGTAGAGAAGCCTGGAAATAAGACACCAATCACAGACCTGCAGGCTTTGTCAGACATTATCTCTCTAGTGACTGTCATTTTGTTTGGCATAGATTTGTCTTTTTCTTTGTTGTTGATATTTTTAAAGATAAATTGTCCCGAAAGTATTTATCTGGTAATTATTTCCAATAAAAGTATGGCAAATTTGGTATAGACACCCAATCTTACTAGAGAAATATTGGATTACCTGAGTGAAAACCACCAATGGGGCAAGCACTGGGCAAAAATGTCAGGGTTTCACTAACTGGCAACCCGACTGTTGTCTGCCAACTTGTGTGCTAGCTTGACTGAGGGAGCAGTTGTTATTTGAACAAATGTTTAGATGGTTTTGGGAAGACTGAGAGGTGTCAACGTACAAAAGACTCTGCAATTAAATGGTGGAAAAGGTAGTTGACAGAAAATAATTAAGAATTTACTTAGGCCTCAATATGTGTGATAAATGGACAGTAAGTAACAAAAAAAAACATTCTGAAAAATGGATCACGCCTCAGTGAATTGAGCTGACAGACATAGCATCTTAACAATAGTTTATTTATAGCTTGCTGTATCTCCCAATGATTACAAAGTTTTGAGAGGGATTTGAAGCAAATTTTTGATAGATTAATTAGTTTGAATATGTTTTTAGTCCAAATATATCTTCAAATCATACAGTTTGTGCGTTGGAAAGTATCCTTAATACATGTTCGACACAAAGTTGTAAACATGAGGACATTTTGTCAGGTACAAATAAAACTGTTATTTTTAGGTCTGACTGTAGAATGTTTTATCACTCTACTTTGACCAATATTTTTGCAATGTTACTTCATTACGTTTGTTGCAATATGAACAACAAATTGAACAAATTGTCATAAATCTGTTTCATTTCCTTATTTCAGAATTACAACCATCGGATTCTGCACCTCAATCAGAAGAAATACCAGGAAAAAATGTAAAAGCCATGAATCTGCGAGTTGTTATAGAATCAGGATATGATCATTTCTGTGCTGTTTATAAAATCTGTGTCCATGGCAACGCGGAACGTTTATAGTTGATAATTCATCGGAACATTTTTTAGAACACTGTGATATAATCATGTTAAAGTTGCTGGTCCTCATCCTGGTCTAAACATTTTTTTTTAGACCATAACAAATTTTTTTGAAACGTCTTCATCCAGGCTAATACAACCTGATTAAAAAACAGATCCTTTTTCGTTTCGTTTTTTATAGTTCAAAATTTCATTTTACTTGTTTTTACTACACTTGGATCTGGAAGAGTTGTTATATTACCAGCGTGAGGGATAAGCCAATGAAACAGTCTGTTACGGTGACTTCTTGGAGCGCCATGCACGGAACTGTGGTTAAACCACTAGAAACGCCAACGCTGATTGATTAATCAAAAGCAGCTCGTACGACCCCTGACACGACCTTCGAATACAACTTGTCAGATCTTCATGTAGTGTAGACCATCGAAAGTATAAAAAACGAAACAAAATATAGATCTGTATTTTTTAATCAGATTGAGACTAATATGTACTCAAATTGATTAATTAACAGTTCATCAAGAAAACAAAACTATATATTAACGGTCGATAATCTCCAGACATGAATTAAACCAGATTAAAAAGTGGGCCATCAAAAGATTTAACCAACATTTTCAGGTGGCACTAGTGTTGCACAATTTTAATTCATCATATCTTCATAAAGGAAGTGAACTATTTTGGGACAGATTTAGAGATTTTACTTTTACAATATTATAGTTTGCATCAAATGACAGCTTTAACTCATTTTACATTCCATATAATGTTTTCATAGAAGCAATTAGTCCACAAATTCTGACAAATGTTGATAGTAGTTGGTTGGAACAATTCAACCATCAATCTGAGAAGAAAACCTTCTGATCACCACAGGCAAACGGGGCACCTGTATATATTCAGTAGTCACAAAGATCTTCTTTTCTTAATAAGTAGGGAAGGTCTTATTTTTCAGGTGTTTGGAGTGGTTGGACAATTCCACATTAAATTTGCAAATTAGTCACAAGGGGTAGATAACCCTAACATTAAGCCAGAATTTCTGATGCGGTACATGAATATTGTGTATGGAAAAGACCTTCCCCAACATGCCTGATCTCCTCAACCTGCCTGAACTTCTCGAACCTGTTCGATTTTCTCCCTAACGCTCCTGATTCTTTGAAGAGTAGGATATGTGTTTATTAATGGCAGTATGCCCTTCAAAATAAACCCTTTATTGTAAACATTTTCCGTCCAAGATATAATGTTTACCTTAAAGATGCATTATGTAAGAGCTAATCTGCCTATTGCAGGCCTTTCTTTTGTTTTGAAATGTTACATAAATGATACTTGACAATCAAGACTAAATTGTTACTACTTAAAAAAAACCCACTTAAAACTGCACTCAGAATAAAGTTTCACTGAAAATTTCAATATATTCTTTTTTCATTATCTATATATGAACTGTTATAGAAAGAACGGTCAGCTCTTTATCTAAATCTTACATATTGCATCTTTAATGGTAAAATATTAATGTGTCAATGGTTGTACATTTATTTATATTTATGTAACCAGGGAGTTATTATTAATATTCCCAGATTGTTCAAAATTAAACAATATACACATATATAGTATTTGTTATTTCTTTACAGGAGTCGCCCAGATGAATGAGGCACTCCACTGGCTCACTAACCAGGAGATTCAGTGATCTCTAGGCTAGATTTCCCCTTGTCAAGGATTTTACATGCACAGCACCTTTGTTTTCAGTAATATCCAATTGTCTAAACACTGTTTCTTGCTATAGGTCCTTTTGTCCTGCACCACTGACAAGTGGAAATCATTCTGAAAACTGGGGTCAAACCTGGGAAATCCTCATTAGCAAAACACCATGGCTCTGAATAAAATTAATTACACTTAATTCATTCCTGTTCAAAGTGAAAATAACATCAGAAATTGATTGCTGGGGGCAGGGGGGCTGATTTTGCACATATGGATCAAGACTGGTAATCCTGTCCCAGGAGTTCATCTATTGGTAGTACTCCTCTCTTGTTCCTCCATCCACATTTTGCAGAGGTCTAGAATCAGATATGAATGTTTGAATTTACATTTTCTGGCATTTCTGGTGAATATTCTTGATTTTGAGGCAATAGATCACATGTTAAACACATGAATCTTTGGTGTTTCGTGCAGGGATCACCTAAGAAGATTATCTTAAAAGAGCCTTTAGATATTTTTGAGCTTGCCTAGAATAAAATCGAGATCGTGAACCCTCACTTCAGTATTTTTTATCAGTTAGTTATGACATGTTGGGTTCTTTGTGATTTTAAAGATTAAGATCATCGAAATGTCAAATAAAGATGTTAATGGCAAAGGAATGACATAGAATTATCATTGAAGTCTATGTTGCTGAAGTTACCAGTCTGAACCCAGGGTTACCCGAATGGAGTTACTTCCCTTCATCTTAATGACAATTTATACAATTATATTTTTCAATTACAATATCCAGAGTTGTATTAATAAGACCACTGACCGAGTCCAACTCTTTTATTTAGGATAGGATAAATTATTGAATTGGGTTAATATGATGTGTTATTTCAATTAGTGATCGATGGGGTAAGATCAATATGTCATTGTTTTGAATTTTTAAGTTTTATTTTTGGTTTACTGTGCCGACAGTGGAACACAAAATCGGTTTATCTGGATCAAAGAGGTCATTTAACACACACCCAGTTTAGTTATATCATACTTCTTATACTGTGAAAACTTGGGATGGTCTATCATAAAAAAAACCCAACAGAATCGTCCTTGGATGTGAAACAAGGATATGTCCTTAGCCCCACCTTATTCAGTATCTATTTAATGACCTGTCAGCTTGTTTAATTACATTTAGTTTCAACATGGACGGCCTAACGCTTGCCCATGAAATATCTCATATCCTTTTTGCAGATGATCTTGTTCTGTTATCAACGCCATTTATTGGTCTTCAAAATGGTCTTATGTCTCAATTCCTTCTGCACTGGTTGGAAAATTAATATCAATCCCAATTATCCTAATCAGCAGCAATATCATCCCTCCTCTTGAAGCAGTTCAACTGTCAAAATCTAACATACAGACAGCAATGGGGTCCCAATTCAACACTATTTATAAAACCAGAAATTTTCTAGCAACTCAAAACTTAGAACTTGTGACACTGTAAAAACCTATTATAGATTCTCCAGCGAATCATCTGCTTCATGTACACAATAAAAACTTCAAGTCTGCTTTGAGTTCACTAGGTTTGAGTTTCCATAACTTAGAAATATAATATTTTATCTTAATGAAATCTGTAAAATGACTGAAAATGCAAATTATTAAAGACAGTAGATATGTAATTATATTGTGAAATTAGTAAATGACTCAAATTGCACACTTAAACACTCAAAAGTCATAAATTTTAAGAGTGGTTATTTGTTAGGGTGTGTAAAAGGGACTGGGCTCACAAATCCCCAGATCGGAAATTGGCACAAAACTGGTGACTAACTGGTCAAAAATAATTAAAGTGGGAAGATCTGGAAATAAAATGAAATGAAATGGGGTTTAATCTACTTTTCTGTTCACTGGACTAATGAAGACAGGCATACGCCATACAGTGTGCTGGCCGGACACATTCATTTTCGCCTACTCAACTGTCAAGGTTTTTGTCACATCAGAAGGATTAGACAGGCACGTATCCAGAGCACCAGCGCGCGCAGGACTTTTTTTTTTCTCTCGTACATTCTTGGAAATAACGTCGACCAAAACAAACGTGCTAAGGACTGTTGCCGTTTTGACCGCACCCACGACCCACTCTATTATACTAAACAGCAAAAAAAAAACCCAAAAAACGTCATGCAATGCATCTATTTAGAGTAACATACCAACCTGACGTTTCTTTTGCTGCTTAGTATATATATATATGCACCTAAATGAGCAGAATATTGTCCCTGGACTTCTTATTTTATTAAATTCTCGCGTAAACTCCAGGACTTCATGCTAACCTTGGACCCCCCGCTGCTCAAATTCCTGAACAGACCCTTGCCAGACGCTGCTCTTCTTATACTTAGCAAAGATGAATAGCATACCCCCACCCCACCCCCGTTAGAAATTCAAAATCAACCTAAGGACAATTTGAGCTACCTTAAATCGCCACAAACGTCCCTGGGACTGTATGTAAATTTGAATAATCAAGGGCACGTGGAAGACATTTGAAAAGACGGTAAAACGTAACAAGACTAATAAAAGAATTAGCCTACTGTAAGTGTTATAGAACTAAGAGTACACAATATGAATCATTTCTTGTCAATATACGACGGGTTCAATCGTTCTAACATTGCTAAACATTTAACGACAACCAAAACAGTCGTCAGTTTCTGGCAATCGTCCATATTCGCTTGCTCTTGACGCCATGAACCAGTTTTCTGCAGCCCTTGAAATTAATTAAGCAAGCAGCAAGACATTAATCTCAAATTCTTCCGTGATAAGGACTAAGGTTCCTCCCACAGCTAAGACCCATACGTGCAATTACATGAAATATAATTGAACCATATGTTAGTCCTGAAATGATCTAGTTTGTGTTGACTGGACGTCCCCCCCCCCCTCTCTCTCTCTCTTGTTTTAAATTAATAAATGTTCACACAGCTTTTTCGTAAGATATTTTATTTTTGTGGTTGTATATAAAATGAATATGTTGGATGAAGTAGTCTTATCATTGTAATTATTTGAGCCTGAATTTTAAAACAAGATTAAAATGGGGAAACATGTTAGTCCCGAAATGATCAAGTTTGTGTTGACTGGACGTACCCCCCCCCCTCTCTCTCTCTCTCTCTCTCTCTTTCTTGCGCCTGAATTTTAAAACCAGATTAAAATGGGGAAAACCAAGAAACATTTGTTTGTTATGTGACCTATCCTAAGTCTTCAAATGAGAAGTGGTATCAATTGTTCTAGAAAGAGTAGGCCTGGACACTAATAATAAATATAGTAGGCCTATATATAGTCAGGTATTCTATAACGAAACAAAATAAAACCGAAAAAAAAACAATGCAGAAAGCATTTTAAGTGGGAGTAACCCCTGAACAGATTACAGAACAATAGTTGTAGTGTTCGGACTCGTCTAAAAATATCAATTCGTGTTCAACTGGTTATTATATATATGGAATCAAATTTGCATGCTTCTCTAGCAGTCCCTGGTCAGAAATATGCAAAATATTTTGTAAATGCCATGACAGACGCCAAAAATCCATGATATTTATAGAATGAGATTTAATATATCGTTAATATATACTATTCAAAAAAAGTAGGGGATAATTGATTTTTAAGTGTTATTAAAGTCACCTAATGAAACTGACGAAGAAACAAATGACAAAATGAAATGAAGTTCACATTCATCGATTTATTCCAAATGATCGTTAGACTAAGTAAGGCACAGACTGACCATTATAAGGGTAAAATGATACCCGGGGTCAAACAGCAAAGTTACCACAGCATCACAACCAAGTCAGTAACGGGTAAATCCTCCTCTGTTTGCCAAACAAGCATTGATCCGACGCGGCATACTCCTAATGAGACGTCTAAGGTCATTTTGGTCCAGATTGTCCCATTCCTGTTGCAACGCAGCAGCAAGTTCTTGGACATTGGCAGGACGTTGTTGACGTTGACGTAACCTCTGTCCAAGCATGTCCCAGACATGCTCGATGGGGGAGAGGTCGGGACTCAGTGCTGGCCAAGGTAATGTGGTGATGTTCTGTTGTTGGAGGTAACCTGTAACGATCCTGGCCCTGTGACATCTTGCGTTGTCATCCTGGAAGATGAAACGGCGGCCATGACGTCGTGCGAACGGCACAACATGGACTGCCAAGATGTTGTCCCGGTAGTACTGGCCTGTAACACGCCCTGCAACAACATGTAAAGCCGTTCTTCCAGCAACAGTGATGCCTCCCCACACCATAACAGAACCACCCCCAAATCGATCATGTCTGATGACGTTAACGTCTTGGAAGCGCTCGTTTCGACGACGCCACACCCTCCTACGTCTGTCCAAAAAATCAACAGTGAACCTTGACTCATCTGAAAACATCACATTGCTCCAGCGTCGATTATCCCAGTGTTGACGATCCCTACACCAACGACGTCTTGCCTGAATGTGATGATCTCTCAAACAAGGGATCACGCGAGGACGTCGGGCGCGAAGGTGACCCCTATGCAGTCGATTCCGAATCGTCTGGCCACTCACTCTCACACCAGTGTCTGTTTGAAGACGAGCGCTGATCTGATTTGCTGTGATGACACGATTTCTCAAGGCCAAGGTACGGATAAATCGATCCTGGGCTTGAGTTGTCGCCCTTGGTCGACCTGAGCGTGGTCTGTCCTGTACAGATTGTGTATCACGGTATCTGGACCATAGCCTGCTTATGACAGACTGAGAAACATTCATCGTCCGCGCCACAACCGCCTGTGTTGTGCCGATCTGTAGCATGCCAAGGGCACGTAACCTTTCATTTTGGGTAAGCCGACGCATATCAAAATTTGTTTTCTGGTCACTAAAACAATTAAACTGATGTTTCCACCCTGGAATTCAATGCCACAATGACTGTAACATTCAAAGTCAGAGTCGTGCAAATCTTGGGTTGGACCCCCATGATGATCCCAAGCATCACCTGCATTCCATGCGGTAGCTATTGGTGCGTTTGGGGGTCACATGTAACTGGAAATGTTTCTTCTGTTAGGTTCTATAGTGACTTTTTTCGTAGTCATTTCCATATTTTAGTATTATGCCCCCAAAATCAAATATCCCCTACTTTTTTTGAATAGTATATCAAAAAATATACTCTTTTCGTTTTCTTTCTCCCTCGGTTTAGTCGTTCGTATGGGACGAAGCACACCTTGTTGTGCACGTAAAATAACCATTGCCTGTCTTCATTATCCCATTTGGTGCATAAAAGTAGGACTTTGAAGGAGCGAAATGGCAAATTTATTTGGGAACTAGAAATTGACACAAATCGGTCGCAACGTATATAATAATGTAATATGAATGTATATAAACTGATTTACATTTAATCATTTCCGTTTTACTCCAATTTCAAATCAGTTATGTTCGGGGAAATACGCAAGAGTCTCAATCGAATGGTAATCTCTAGCGTCTGGTTATTCCAGTCTACACCGATAGTATTTATTACGCATGCTCTCCAGATAAGAATATGACGTCCCCGTTTGACATGAAATATGTATAGCCTCGTTCGTAGTCCCTTGTTACAAATGGCACTGTAACGCATTATGGTACACGATTCGTGTACCCATAGTAAAAAAATTATTTTGTCTTAAATATTGGATATCAGAAGCCCACTTTTTCCCGCTAGTAAGATCACAACATCAATGTTGATTTAAATTGACAAATAATTCGTGTTTTCAATGTCGAAAACTTTGAATGATATTGAGTTAGAGACTTAGCTACCTTAAACCCCATTTCATTAATTCTCCCGTAATTATATTTTTCAATGGTGATGGTTATGGGGCCTGGCAAGGTAAAGTGTATAGTCGTTTGGATGGTAGGATAACCCGTGTATACCATTGGCAGCACATTAAAGTCACGATAGCACACCGCATGGCGTATCTGATACTTGAGCTTTGAGATTGTGTCTATTCTTACTGTTCAATCAAATCTATCCCAAGTACAGCAACATGGCTGTCCTTCGTTTAATCTGGGGTCTTCCCTAAAACTTTGGACAGTGATTTAAGGTATTAAAAACAGTGAAAGTATTGTTCGTCTCCAAACAGTATTGTTGGGGAGCCACGGTGGCTAGGTGGTTTAGGCGCTGGCTCGCTAGCCTGGAGGTCTGGTGTTCGACCCTGCATTGGCCGAGAAAGTTCATCCCGATTTTCCGGCGTGGTTTGCCCTTGTCAGTGATGTAGGACATAGGGCCTGACAAGGACAGCTGTCTAGTCCTTCGGATGAGACGAAAACCGAGATCCCGTGTAAACATCGGAATGCACGTAAAAGATCCCTTGGCAGTTGGAATTCGATATAAGAGTAGGCGATAGTGCCGCTGCCCGGGCAAAATTTCCCTCATAGCACACTGTATGGCGTATGCCCGTCTTCATTAGCCCAGTATAGGAGCAGAACAGTAGGACGTTAAACCCCATTTCATTTCATTTCATTTCCAAACAGTATTGTTACATTGTATTCGTTTTGATAGCCTCGTTTGTCACGCAATTAGTTTTTTCTGCAATATTGTGCCATGCACAAGTTAATTGGGCATAATAAAATCGTTCGTCATGACGTAAAGTTATGTAAACATATTTGGTCCAATTTGGAGCTCTGTTTAAAGCGTAATAATATTGTTACGCAGTTACCTATTGGTTCTTAATTGGACTATTGACCAGTCATAATTTGGAACATAAATTTGCTTCCATTAAAGCAGTGTAAGTGTGGGATTAGTTCTACGATCTGTAACAATCCTATATTTTAAAAAAAGGAATGTTTTATGTAGGCCTATATATTCCTAGTTATACAATTTGTTCATCTATATGTATATAAATAATGCGAATTATATTATATTGTATGGGAAACCTTTCTGAACTTCTGTGGAATACGTCGCGCCATAGAGTTCTAAAGAACGTAACATTATTGTCATTTTTATTGCTCTATAGGTCGTGTGTACTTATTTTAATGCGATTAAATAAGGTACATTATCATAAAAAAAAATATTCAATGGCTATATAAAAAAGCCCCGCTTTCTGCAAGCTAAGGTGGCTGTCCTGGGTAATATCACTAGATCTTTTAAGATATAATAACTGGATACCGGCGGGGGTAGGTTTGGGATGGGGACGGGCGACAAAGTCGGCAACAACTGATGCAGGCGGAGTAGATGGAAAGACGTCGTCATTGGGACAGCCCTTCTGCTGTTTAAAGAAATCGTTTTGAGAATGTTACCCAGATGATAGAGGCCTTGTGGGGGGGGGGGGCGATTTTTAAGCCTAAGGCCCGTCTAATGAATGCAAATGTATAGGGATCGTTTCCATCTAACAAAAGAAAACGGGTCTTAGTGCTATAGCACTGCTCGCGTTCTCTTGTCGCCCTGTGGACAGTGCTCACAGAAACTACGGTTTTGATCTAAGATGGGTTATTTAAAAGTTACAATTAGAATATGCTATATTTGTTTGGATAATTTAGAATAATCACAAATGAAACAACTTTTAACTCGCTTTCTGTAGACCCATGAGGCCCCTGGGCTACAAACCCATTAAGCTCATGCCATAATCCCGCTCTGCACATCGGTTAAATTAAATGTACGATGAGATAAATTAAATTTACACTTTGTCCTTTATTTGCACTACACGTAATAACAACCTACACAATAATTTTTTCCAGTCAATTTTTTAATGTTTTGATCGACACAATCGTCCGATCTATTACATACATAAAATACAGGTGAAAGACCAGACCAGACATTACACCGCTCAACGAGGTTTAAATTATATATTATCGTATCCTAAAAAGTCTTTTATCAAAGGCCTAACTGTTCTGCACTATACCCTAGCTGTTTACTTTGTCCGACTTTTATTGAACATAATGTATGGCTTATTGAGTATAATACACCCCTATCTATATACATATATATATATAAATCTAATGACGTCATTCAAAGATCATTGCCATTGGGTTACAAATTTTCGAAGTGATCGGTTCTGTTATTTGGGACTCTAGATTATCTTTTTCTCCGTCTAATCCTCGGGATCCGATTATTGAAATGTTTGTTTATTTATTTGTATATTTTAATTCGGTGATGGATATTTTTTAATCGGATTGTTCCTTTATTTTTAATTTAACAAAAGGTAAGTGGGCGAACTTGATTTGTATTTATATTTAAAGTGACTATCAACAGATTCATAAAGTTAATTTTAAAAGATAATGAAAAGAGAGTAGTGATTGCATTTATTTTTTTTTTAAATATTATGCTGAAATTACATACAAGATCGTGTTAAATTTGATATCACCATGAACGGTCAATAATAAGATCCATGATTTTTTCGATTTTTTTTTATTAACGACATCTTATTAACTTGAACTGGGATTGGAGAACAAGCCTAAATTTTGAGGAGCCACGATGGCTCGGTGGGTAAGACGTTGGCTCGCAAACCTGGAGGTACTGTGTTCGATCCCTGCGTTGACTGAGAAAGTTCATCGGGATGTTCCCGCCTTGTCAGTGGTGCAGGACCGAGGGTCTAGCAGGGGACAACATATAGTCGTTCGGATGGGACGAAAAACAGACGCCCTGCGTAACATCGGCGTGCACGTTAAAGATCCCTTGACAGTTGGAATTTGATATAAGAGAAGGCCGTAGCGCTGCTGTCTGGGCAAAATTTCCCTCATAGCATACTGTATGATGTATGCCCTTCTTCTTTATCCTTGTCGGAGCAGAACAGTGGGAAGTTAAACCCCATTTCATTTCCTAAATGTTGATTCCTATTCATGATATGAAAAAATATCATTAAACCAGGATCCATCCTTGTCTTTGTTTTTTCAAGCAGAGTTCCGGTGGGGGGGGGGGGGGTGTATTAACTTTGTTACATATAAAACCAAGTTTAGACCACGGGTAACTTTTAAAATAGAGTTAATCTTACAAATAAAAATAATACATTGACGATCATACTATTTTTGTGGTCATAAATAACAATGAATGAATGAATTTGCGTTTTTCAAATGGTAGGATAACATAGACTTGAACTGCTTTGCTTTGCATTGCGTTCTGTGCTTTGTGTGTGTGTGGAGGGGGGGGGGCGTATTATTATTTTTTGGATTGGAATTTTTTTAGGGGACGGGGTCGGTGATGTTTTATTTTTGTTTGTTTTGTGTTAGATCTGAAAATGATTTTATCACTTCTTAGCAAAGACATAACAATTCGTTTTAGTTATTTATCTGAACGGTGGCTTGGTGATTATTGCGCTGGATCTAGCCAGGATGTCCCGAAAAGGGTCTCTCGTCCTGGTTGTCAGTATTACATGGTGGGGGGGGGGGGTATCATCTAGTTGTCAGGGTTGGACGGAAAACCGATGTCCTTATATGTACCAACTGTTGAAAATGGGCACACGCCATATAGTACGTTGTGAAGAAATTTGTGTACGGACAGCTGCGCCCCTCCCCCACCCCCATACACACACAAACACACCCACCCACCCACACACACCTCTATTCCCCCCACTCTTCATTCGTCCAATCGCTGTAGAAAAGTAGGTTGTTAAATCCCGTTTCATTTCTCCCCCCTCCCCACCTCTTTAAGTTGTAAACCCACTGGGCTATCGTAAGGTGCTTGAAATAGGCTAGTACATAATAAGTCATCGTTAGTACAAGCTTACACCTATCGCTTTATTTACATAGATTTATATTTCCCACTTTGTTTAGATATCTAATTACCTCTATACTATATACAATATAATATACTATATACTATAGGCTACTATACATACAATCATGTATTATAGTAAAATCAAATGAAATGGGGTTTAACGTCCCACTGTTCCGCTCCGACTGGGCTAATGAAGACGAGCATACGCCACACAGTGTGCTATGCGGGAAATTTTGCCCAGACAGACAGCGGCACTATGGCCTACTCTTATATCGAATTCCAACTGCCAACCGATCTCTTACGTGCACGCCAATGTATACACGGGACCTCGGTTATTCGTCCCATCCGAACGACTAGACAGTTGCCCTTGTTAGCTTGTCCGTCGCTCCGTCCTACACCACTGAATATGGAAACCACGATGAACTTGTTTTATAGTATATTTAATCTCGATGAACTTGTTTTATAGTATATTTAATCAAAGGTTTGTTTTTTACGTGTACTACATTTTACTTGGAGTTAAGTGCCACCCGAATGGCAACTGTAAGAAAACAAAGATGAAGGGTCGTATATTTTTAAGGTCCAATGGGTCGTATGTAAGGCCGGATTAAATGTGGGCGTGTGTTTGGGGTGGGGTAGGGGTGATTACTGAGCTGCAGCCAGCCAGGGGTCCTCAGATTATATTCTAAACGTTATTTATTTTATTCGTGTTAGATAAGTCTACCTATACCATACTGACATACAAATAGCATTCAAAGACAATAACCAGAATATGCTCCCTATTCACTGTTGGTGCACGGGCCCTATAATATAGTGACATTTTCACTAAGGGGCCCCATGCAAGCTTATCCTGGTCCTGGTTGTATGAATAAGTTTTTAAAGACTAAAAAGTTGGGTTTTTTTTAAAAAGCTAATAAGGTTTGAATGACGTAGAAGTTGAAATTAGAGGACTACGTGTCTGATTTATAGGGTATACATGTATATCGCCCTACAGGGCAATCCAACCTTTTAATGTAATTACGTCAATTAAATTAAATATACAGTGTACACGTAAATTAATACGTCGTAAACAACTCAAATATTTAGTTACAAAAGAAAACGGGAAATCTTATTGGAGCAAATCTGGCGTGACTAAATGCCATAAATAGAAGATTCGATAAATAGTATAATTAATTATTTGAAAGCGCGAAAAGTATAGAATACCATATTTGTTTAATTACACTGTAGGCCTATTCGTTCATTCAGTCGGCGTCTGTTAGTTTTACCATCCAAAATTATTATAATAAAAGATTGTAGAAACTTTGAAAATGACATTTCCTTCATAGCACACTGTAGGCCTATGCATGGCGTATAAATCCTGTCTCCATTATTCAGGTCTGTGTAGAAAAATAGGACATTAAACCTCATTTCATTTTATAAAGTCTTCATTTGTACCATTATGTGTCCTTATTTATAGGCCATAAAACAATCATTCCAGATGTCATTATTTACATACATGGACCTTTTAGTTAGGATTCTTTAGGAAATTTTTTATAAATATAAAGTTGTTATTTTTATCGAGTCTGCCACCTTGGTGCCCCCCGGCCCATGTAATTTTTCTTCTTGCTTTCGATATTGCTTCTCTCATAGTATCATCATTAAACTATCATGATTGGTGCTGAAATGTATGAAGCTAAACCCCATTTCATTTTTTTTTTTTTTTTTTTTTTTTCTGTGCCTTTGAGAAACCTGTTAAAGCAAATTTCCACTCAAATTAAACCCCAGGGACTCTTTTTAAAATATTTTTAATATTTAAAATTTCCTTGAACAAACGCATTGCGTATCAAGGTGTTTAAAAACCTGGCTGGTTGTGCATTTTAGAAACCAGTTAATGTAAATATCTTTCAAATCAAGGTTATAGAAACCTGTTAATGCAAATCCAAGAGAAGATATGACACCTTTTTAATATTTTTTAAAATAGATTTCCTTGAACTAATCCACTCAGTAGCAAGGTTGTTAAACGCATTAAACATGAAATTTGTTATTGTGCCAACAATTCCTTGTTTGAAACTCTACCTCTCCACATTTCATGGATATTTAAACAAGCATAAAGAGAGAATTACTCAAGTTGATACGAAACATTTAAACTCGAGTAACCCACAACAGACATAAATCTAGATAAGCCTGATGACGCCTAAAGATCATGTCCTGTCAATTACAATAACATTTGAGATTTTTAAATACATGACATTTGTGCGCATGGGCGGATCTGAAGGCCAAGGAGAGGGGGTAACAATGGAACCTGATGGAATCTATACAATTTCTAGGGTGAAAAGGATGTGACACCCTGCTTTACATTTGGTGAGCTGACTTTTCGATGTCTACTAAAGATAAATTCTCACACTGATCAGCAGTGAATATTCGTAATCCTCTGTGAAACAGATTGATAAATTCTTTCTATAACCATCCCCACCCCAACGTTATTTTATGTCGGCTTGCACCGAAGTGTCGCAGACAAAATGGTGACACGCCTGTCGGAGCATCGGTGGCCGATGCGGATTCCGCTTGCTCATTAAGCAGGCGGTTCTGGCTTCGATCCTGCCATTGGCAGCACATTTGGAATTCAGTGAAGAGTAGGCGGAAACCTGTTCGGTCAAAATGATCTGGCTTTAACACCGCACTCTTAGAAATGTTGTACAGGCCCGTAACTAAGGTTGGGGGGGGGGGGGGCAAAACGTTTCGCCCCCCCCCCCACCTCTGAAAAAATTGTCGACCATAGATATATATTGTCCGTCAATTTTACAGCACCCAGGCCCGCTCCCCTCGTTGCTCTGAGCTAGTTACGGCCCTGATGTTGTAAAACCCGCGGTCGTTGCTTCAGGAATATGAACTTTATATAGCTTAGGGTCCCACCAAGGGTAATTCCAGTATAACGACTCCGTGCCAACTCTTTACCCACACCTGCACAATGATTTTTTTCACACTTACAATGGTTTGTATTTTACTGGTTCACATTTCGGGTTAGGTCCATGCATGTTATTTGCATTTCTATGTCGCAAGGCGAGCATGAAATTATTTCCTATAAGGCGTTTTCTTTCAAATATATGGCTTATGCACTTTTAAAATTTAAAACTATCATATTAAATATAATTGACACTGACCTTCACGCTTCTTCTATTAGTGTTTAACGTCCGCTTCCAACGAGGGTGATATCGCAGACAAGCTGTCTTATTTTATTATCTTGGCGCACTTGCAGGGGTCTTACCTGTGGGAGGAAACCAGGAGTACCCGAAGTAAACCAGCGAGACTGAGAAAGCGCCCCTATCACCAAGTCATATGCTCAGACCTGGGGTCCAAACCACGACCGCAAGCCAGAGGTGACCGGCCAGCTAGAGTCCGAAGTGCGACACTCTAGATCACTAGGTCTACTCTACCCCTACCTTCACACGCAGTCAAAACCCTTAAATACACGAAGTGGCGACAAGTTCAAGAAGATGAAGATATTTTTTCTAAAAGCAAAAATTGAATGTAAAAAGAGAGAAAATGGGTCCATTTCAATCATATGAATTTAATATTTAAAATTAAACTATTCTATTTTTACTTGCGTGTGCGGTCTATACTCTCGTTTCGATTTCCAACTTTCGGAGGATCTTTTATAACGTGCTGTTTATGACAAGTGGAGACTCAGTGTTTCGTCTCATAAGAACCACTGACGCGTTTTCCTTCCAAGACCCACTGACAAACGGAAAACTTGACTGAAATATCCCGAGGAACTTTCTTATCCAATATCTGAATCGAAGAACCCAGGACCTCCTGGTTAGTCATTCTGCACATAGAAAACTATCTACTACTAATATAGATCTCTGTCCTAACTGGCGGTCATACCCTATAGTACCATTTTGTAATGCAGTTCTACTCCGTTTCACGTCTGTCATAAATACACAGATTAAATAAACCTTTTCAATTTTATTAAATGAAAGCGGAATAAAGACTTCTCAAAGTAAAGTGTTTTCGACTAAAATCGTCGATTTAAGACTTAAAATGTCGGTCAACTAACTTAGTGTCTGTTCTCATGTAGCTAATTGTTGACAGACAGCGTAAGTTTAGTATGTTCCATATAGTGCAAGCATTACACGCATGGAGCCACGGTGGCTAGGTGGTTAATACGCTGGCTCACTAGCCTGGAGGTCGGGTGTTCGACCCCTGCATTGGCCGAGAAAGTTCATCTGGATTTTCCGACGTGGTTTCCCCTTGTCAGTGGTGCAGAACGGAGGGCCTGACAAGGACAGCTGTATAGTCCTTCGGATGAGACAAAAACCGAGATCCCGTGTATACATTGGAATGTACGTAAAAGATCCCTTGGCAGTTGGAATTCGATATAAGAGTAGGCGATAGTGCCTCTGCCCGGGCAAAATTTCCGTCATAGCACACTGTATGGCGTATGCCCGTCTTCATTAGCCCAGTCACAGAGTATGGGAGCAGAACAGTAGGACGTTAAACCCCATTTCATTTCATTCCTTATTACACGCATATAAAAAGTCAGCCTTAAGAGCTCCCAGAAACAAAAAGAGGGCATTTTTGTCGGGTTCCTGGATTGTTTTGGGGAAAAGATTTATTAAATAGACAATACAAATCAAACCGGGATATTTAGCTTAGTTATCTCGTTATAGTGAACCAGTGCCTAATAGAAAGGCTACAGGAAATAATTGATGAAGGAGTATACAATTTAAAACTAACATCGTCAACACTATAAGTCGAAAGGGAGCCGCGGTGGACCAGTTAGTAAGACGCCGGCTCGCTAACCAGCTTTCTGGTTCGCTCTCGTGTTGGCCCCTTGTCAGTAGTGCAGGACGGAGGACAGTGTCTAGTCGATCGGATGGTGCGATACCTAGGTATCGTGTACACATTGGCCTGCACGTAAAAGAAACCATGAAAGTTTGAATTTGAAATAAGAGTATATTCACTACAATGTATAGCGTATGACCGTCTTCATTAGCCCAGTCGGAGCAGAAAAGAAAATCAACTCAGGGGCAATAACTGGTTAAATAGTAAAACCAAGGGCTACCATGGTGGGATAATTATAATAAGTAAATGAAAGAAATGTAATATATATATGTATGTGAATATTCGCCATTTCAGACACAGTTGAAAACACAGTAATGGATTCGAGAAGAAAACAGAGTTTATTTACAGGAAAACAGACATTGGCATCAATTGAAGAAGAAACAAACGCAGCTAATCATGGGTAAGTCCTTCGTTTTTATTTAGGGGTGGAGTGGGGAAATTGATCATATGTATTTGCGTTATAAGAATCTATTTTAAAGTCCTGTCCATTCTCAATTGCCTTTATATATATAGTGTATATAGTGGTGGGGTGGGGGCGTCACATTCAACAAGAAATTTCACAGAAAATTTACAATCGACGTCCTAACCGAATTTATTTTGTGTATTTACTTTTGTTGAACATTCGAATTAAATTAAATATCATATTCCCACTTAAATATTCCACGATTTCTTGGTGTCCTGTAACAGGACACACTGTGTATAGTAAAATTTTACTTATTGTATTCGTGAACAATCTACTGGTGCCTACTTTATTCAGATGCACGAACAAAAACCACAATAAATCTTCTACCATTACACCAGCAATCACCTCTTTTTGGCATAATCAGGCTACCACAAACAACATCTTTAAAATAGTAAATGAATACTTCGATGTCACCAGACGCTTCAAGATCTCATTTTATTTATTTTTTTAATCATTTTCTAAAGCACATCTGTTTTATTTGTTATAAATAGTGTGTATATAACTTATTTAATTTATATGATTTTCCCATGATTCTGTAATATGTACATAGCACATCTGTATATTATATGTTTTATATTCCTTGTATGAGGAGAGGGGTGATATAGGCTATGCCTGTTCCCTGACCTCCCTTTTTTTCATAAATTTAAAATAAAATATTGTTTACAAAAAATAAAAAAATAAAAAATAAAATAAATAAATAAATAAATCTACTAAAATAAAATGACGAGCATTGAATAACAGTTTGACTTATCATAAGTGGTACCATTTTTTGTCGAAAGGTGAGCTGAAGTATAAAGTATTCCATCTTGACACGGCAATAACATTTCCTATAATAATGAATACCGTGTAGAAATAATTTGTTGGTCTGTAATACTCTGTCATGGGAGGTAGTGCGTACAGTACATTATACTATACGAAATATTCTAAGGTCGGGATTTTCCGACGTGGTTTCCCCTTGTTAGTGATGCAGGGCAGAGGGCCTGACAAGGACAGTTGTCTAGTCGTTCAGATGGGACGAAAAACCGAGGTCCAGTAAAAGATCCCTTGGCAGTTGGAATTCGATATACGAGTAGGCCGTAGAGCCGGTGTCCGGACAAAATTTCCCTCATAGTACACTGTATGGCGTATGCCCGTCTTCATTAGCCAACAATACATCATGATTTCAATAGTAAGTTCCGTCGATCCCGATTAAAGACAAAAATCATCTCTTTATACTAAACGACAAATTTAGTATTTGTGGTTCGGGTTTTAGGGGGCTGGGGGCGAGGTACTTCCCAGTTATTCGGCATGGATCGGTTAACTAAAGTACAATCATGGTTTGGCTTGGTAACTTACGCTCTTCTAAATTGCAAAATAAGAAACTGAAAAATCGCAAAGTTTAGGGGCTGATACCGGTAACAAACGAACTGTCCAAAAAAGAGAAGGATGGACGCGAATGCGAGCGGGGTTCAAGGGTCGTTTATACTGAGCCTGAATGCGATACGTTCCCAGAAAAGTATTTATCGGGTGATTATTTCCAATAAAAGTATGGCGATTTTGGTATACATGTATATGGAAAGTATAGAAATATCCAATCTTACTAGAAAAAAACACTCATGGATCGATAAAGGACAAAAATGTAAGGGTTTCCCTAATCGGCATCCTGACGATTAGGAATGTCTGCTCGCGTGACTGTTAAATGGTCCTGGCAGAATGGTGCCTTTCACTCATATACCCATTTACACTTAATAGGAAATGTTTTTTCATCCATGGCAGATATATTTCAAACACCTTTATTTATTTTTCTAATACTTCAAAAAAATGTTCTAGAATTTAATTTGCAGAAGGAAAAGGGTTAATATTGTGAGCTAATTTACCCGCACCGATGGCATCCCTCTCAGTAATATTTGCGGCCTAGCGAATATTCACTGCTGATCAATGTAGGGGGAACCACGTCGGAAAATCCCGATACATTTTCACGGCCCACACCAGTAATCTTAAAGCCAACCAAATGCTTTTAGCGAAATCTAAGTGACTGCCTGTAACATACCCTTTATATACAGCACCACGGGGTAAACATATGTTCAACATTGACCTTTAAACTTAAAATACATTTAATACAGTAAATCAAGATTTGATGATATAATTGTAAACTCTTATCTTGTAATAAATATAGTGGTATATTATATATTACTGTCTAGTTTACATTAAATATATATGTATAATATATCATAGCCCTTATTTACACGTTACTTATAAAGAAAACGCGGCAACCAGCAATTACACGGATTAACCAAAAAAAAACCTACATCACTACAACATCATACAGGTTACTATGCGTTCTTAAAGATCCCTTGGCAGTTGGAATTCGATATAAGAGTAGGCCGTAGCGCCGCTGTCCGAGCAAAATTTCCCTCATAGCACACTGTATGGCGTATGCCCGTCTTCATTAGCCCAGGTTAGGAGCAGAACAGTAGGACGTTAAACCCCATTTCATTTCATTGTAATAATGGAGGGGGTTGGATGGCCGAATGGTTAGCGTGTGTGCGCTGTATCATAAGGTCTGTCATTGAGTCAACTGGTGTGGTTTCGATTCCCCGGATGTACGTGACAGGAGTAGGGACGCCTGTCCAACCTCGTGGGTTTTCTCTGGGTCCTCCGGTTTCCTCCCACTGCAAAAGACCCGTACGCGCAAGCGAATTATTGAAATAAAATTGAACCATGTGTTGGTCCCGAAATGTCCTAGTTTATGTCTAGGATCGTAAAAGTTTATACGCACTCATATTTCTGAATTAAACGAAACACTGCGAGAAGTATACGCACTGTATGTGAAATAGCTTTATTTAACGCCCGCTTCCACCAAAGTGATATCGCAGACAATTACATGTTATGTATAGAGTAAAATCATTTACAAGGTGATTAGCAAAAATAATTTAAAGGATTATTGAATATTTATATATATGTACAGAATGAGTAGAACAATTAATGACGGGGATATACTCACTGCAGGTCTTCACAACTTATAGTCCTCGTACCAAGAACCAAGAATATTTCCCATGTGAAAAAAAATACAGATTCTGAAAAAAGAAATCATGCCAGGTTATTATATAGGGCTGAATCAAGTGATATTGTAACGTGACAACACAACAAAAATTATGTTGTGTTGCTGTGCTACAATGTCGCGATCATCATACATGGGAGATAATTATGACTTCCTTACGTTTGTGTCCGTGTTAATTTAATATCGTTGTGTTTGCAAGAACAAAAAAGTGACTACAATTTATTATGGATTGTCACCATGTCTCTAGGATACATACATATTTATTTCATAAATCGACGTGTACCGGGGCAATCTAAGGTGTACTATACTTTATATATAATTATAGGTATAATTTACGACAGACTGTTATTTCCTTTCCTGTCGTATATAAGTAACAATCTTTAAAGCTTTTATCTATCACGGCCGATGGTAGTTTATAATACTAGTATTTTAGAAAAGGAAGACTATTTTTGGACATTGTATAATAAACAAACGATGGGTTATTTGGAGATGGGCATACGACATACCGTGTGTGCTATGATGAGGGAAATTTTGGCCGGACAGCGGCATTACGTACTCTGCCTACTCTTATATCGAATTCCAACTGTCAAGGTTGTTTTTTTTTACGTGCCCTTCAATGAGTAGCCTACATGCACGGGAGATTGGTTTTCCGTACCATCCGAACGACGATACGTTGTCTCTTGAAACAGGGGAACCACACCGGAAAATCCTGATGAAATCGAACACGATCGACCCCCCAAGTTAGAGAGCCAACGCCTTACTCACTGGGGGAGGCGGGGGTGGGGGTGGCCGAATGGTTAGCACGCGCGCGCTGTATCATACGGCCTGTCATTGAGTCAACTGGCGGGGTTTCGTGTTGTACTTGACAAGGAGTAGGGTCGCCTGTCTGCAACCTCGTTGGTTTTCTCCGGTTTCCTCCCAGTGCTAAAGACCCCTACGCGCAAGCGAATTATTGAAATAAAATTGAACCATGTGTTAGTCCCGAAATGACCTATAGTTTGTGTCGAGTGGACGTTAAACCCCATTTCTCTCTCTCTCTCGGTGGGTTGGATGGCCGAATGGTTAGCACGCGCGCGCTGTATCATACGGTCTGTCATTGAGTCAACTGGCTGGGTTTCGATTCCCCGGTTGTACTTGACAAGGAGTAGGGTCGCCTGTCCAACCTCGTGGGTTTTCTCCGGGTCCTCTGGTTTCCTGATCCCACTGCTAAAGACCCCTACGCGCAAGCGAATTATTGAAATAAAATTAAACCATATGTTAGTCCCGAAATGACCTAGTTTGTGTCGAATGGACGTTAAACCCCATCTCCCTCTCTCTCTCTCCTCTCTCTCCTTACTAACTGAGCCAGGGTATCTAGTTGGAAACTTCAGTCGGTCTAACTAGTGTCTTCAAAAAATATTATGGTTTAAGCATAATAACGGAATATTTATTGTCGAAAAAAACAGACTAAAACATTTGCGCCTATATATAGTATAACAAAATGTCTGAAATTCTGGCTCTTAAAATGACCGGCGGTCACATTTCAGTTTTTGCAGGTCGTTATTTGATGACCACTAGCTATTCAAATGCCTCGAACGGATTCATGAATAAATTCAATTTTCTGTAAAAAAAAAAATACATTCGTCTGTTATAAAATCTGAATTCAAAGCCAAACACACCCAAAGGGGTGGTCGTCTTTCTAAAAGGGAATTAACTCCCAAATTTTTAGCAGACGAAAGTCTATCGATTGGCGCGTCCTCTAGTGTTCGTCATTGTAATCAATTCCCTGGACTTGTAATGGAGTAGATAAGCTGACTTGTGGTTTAATCATGGAATAATTTAGCTTACGTGATATTATAGCAATTGCCAATATGTGAAACTTAAACAGTGAATAACCAGCCATTCAAGGTTAGTAATT